ATTGGCCGGCGGTACAGTCCAAACTAGGATCGCAAAGGTCGGCCCAGCTCGGGTATCCAAATGTTCACCGGTTGTGAGTGGATACTTTATAGTCATGAGTGAGTAGTGACCAATATTAAATACTGCTTAGGATTATTTAAATTTTTTATTTTTTTGGCAAAGCTAAGACTTTAAGGCGAGGGGAGGAAGGCAAGCCACAACAATTTCTAGTCCGAGCCATATTCTCCTCATTTTGCGCCCGAGCCACCTCGAATCCTGGTCCTTCCAATATTGTTTTTTAAGTGTCTAATCCTCCAAGATAAAACAATTTTTTAAGAATGAGGCCACGTTAGGCATTATAATGAATTATTCAATTTTTGTAAATCGAAAAAAATAGTTTCAATTGAATACAAGTTTTCTAGTTCGATTTCCTTAAAAATATTTACCTTTTTTACGCATAATTTCAGATATTCCTGGTATAGAATGCAGAAAATAATTCCGATTTTAAATAACTATAATCTATACAATCTTTCTATAGTGAAAACCATGAATTTTTCCGGGTGGTTCCATGGGGAAAATGATAAGCAGAGGTTTGCCAAATATTTTCCTATTTATTTCATATCACGTAGGTTAGCCATTACGGAGGCAGAAGAGATTTAAGTTTTACAAAAATAAAGTTTGACATTATTCTCATGGGTTTGAAGATTCCAACATTATGTAATAATTCCTATACTTTAGTCTGTTCATATTTGATATATGCCCTAACGTGGTCAGATTTATAAACATAGTTTTATCTTCAAGAATTAGAAACTTCTAAACACATAGTAATCAAAGGACGAGGATTTCAAGGTGGCTCGGACGAGAAAATAAGGATAATGTGGCTCAGACGAGAAATTGTTGCTGCTGGCCTTCCTCCCTCATAAGCCGCAATTAACAATTTTACACCTTCAAAACGGCATTTCTTGGCCTTCGATTTTAACATGACCAACTTACCTACCTTTTTTGAATCCCTAGACATGTAAATTTTAGAATCATAAAACAATTTCTTTTAGCTTTAGATTTGTGACGCACTTTGCAAAACTCTCAATGATATTTGCGTAATAGCTTTGGATCACTGTAGACAATCATTGAGCTGGTTATCATGACTTAATAGTAACAGTTAAAGAGATTGTAAGCGAAATTTCAAGTGATGACCCAATATACAGAGATGACAATGCCCGATTCACAACGATACACTTTTCCTGATCAATAATGAAGAAGATATTTTCGTTTTTCAAGGTTTGAACATGTTGATTTCTGATAATGCCAATATATGTTTTCCTTCAGTAGAAATGCGCAAGTCCTTTTTGTAGAGAAACCCATATTGTAAATAATCAGTTATAAAATTTTAAACATGAATATCTAATTCATACTTGATCAGACAAAGCTTTCAAAGATACCGATGTGAATCGGAAATTGCCATATTTGCATGGAGGGTCACTTGAAAATAAGGAAATATTTAGCCCTATTTAGTTAAAATCAAAAAAAGAAATGATAATTGATGAACTGGAAAGAAAATGTTGAACCCACCATGCCTTGTTCACTGTTCAGCCACCTTTCTAGTACCACCAAGATCAGTAAAAGAAAAGTAGTTAAACTAGTTGCACGAAGTTCAACTACTTCTCCATAAGGTCGGAAATAACGGATTGAAAGAAATCGTATAATCAGAGACCAGGGAACGAATCTGATGAATTTAAACTGCCTACCACCGCGCGGTTCAAATTTTTAATCGCCGGTTCAAATCCTTCCTTAATCTTTTGCTTTGAATCGGTGGTTCAAATTTGAACCGCTGTCTGTCCTAGAGGACGATTTTTGCCCTCCCAGGGTTAGGTTAGATTAAGACAATTTCTGGGCCAATCGTTGCGGTTAGGACAGGCTAGGGGGCCGGGCGCTGCGGCCAAAAGNAAAAAAATCATTTCTGACACCCCTAGGCTTAGTACGTCAATATAATTCACCAAAACCATACTGCAGTCCTTCAATTATCATACAGGGAAATTTTCATCTTTCTAAACATCCTAACGAATGATTTGACAGGTTCTTTAAAAACTTTTTTTTGAAAACTTTTGAATTTGTAATATTTTTTTATACTTGCTTAAATAGAGTGTTAAATTGATAGTACAAATTTAAGTGGGGGATTCACCCCCACCTCCTCCACGGTCCCACCCCTTGTTTTTTGTAGGGTCAATTTTTATTATTTTTACCTGAGTGCTATTCTTTACGTTGGTAACAAAACATTGTGTTACAGAGTTAAAAGTTCCTTTTGAAACAAATTCAGTTTCAAATTCTTGGCGCTTCCCACAACCTTTAGAGACCTGAATATACGTGTATGTGTGCATTATGTATGTACGATTATTAATTATAAATGTCGCTTATTAAAAGTCCCAAATATTCTCGGTAATTATTTTTAACTTTTATAGTTCTATAGAAGTATTAAAAAAATCAATTGTTTTTTACTCAAACTTATACAAAGTTTATATTTGATACTTTGTGAAAGATCACTGTTTGTTTGTTTGTTTGTTTTGAAGTCTGATCATAACTCATGAACCACCCCCGACCGAATTTAAGTTTAACTTGGTTAACTTTTATGGAAACCTCCAGGCAAAGCAGGGTTCCCAAGCTAGTTTACTTATATGCATATATGTTTGATACTATAGCTTGAGCTAGTTTACTTATATGCATATATATTTGTTACTATAGCTTGAGCTAGTTTACTTATATGCATATATATTTGATACTATAGCTTGAGCTAGTTTACTTATATGCATATATATTTGATACTATAGCTTGAGCTAGAATCTAACGTTGTCAAACTGGTACTCATGTAGTCTATGATATACTCCCGCTTTTTAAAGGCGCCTGGCCGTAAATTACGATTTTAGCAATTTATCCCTGTAAAAATGAACCCTATCAACTTAGAAAACCAAACTAAGAACATTTCCATGGTTCTGGTTCTCATATCAAAATTTGAGGCAAATCGGTTCAGGGGTTCCTGAGTTATGACAGGACAAACAAACAAACCGACAAACAGAGATTAAAACTTTATATTTATCAGCTTGGGAACCCAGAGCTTCCAAGGTTACTAAAATTAGTCCCGCCGTTTACCCGCACTTTTACAGGAAAACTAAATTTTCCCTATTAAAGTCGACCCGGCCACTCAACTTAGAATCTCAAAACCAAGCTAAGAACATTCCCGTGGTTCTCCCAAATTCCCCAATCAAAATTTGAGACAAATACAAAACAGGTGTTTTTAAAAAATTCGAATCCTCGACTGCTTTGTAAAAGATAAAAGGTAATAGTTTTCCATTAATCTTTTTTCAGAGGAACCCCTGTTTAACATGTTGCTTTTTTATTAAAATTTACAGAAATATTTTTAAACTTTAAGACATTTTCTTCAAAATTGCTAACAAAATGTTAGAAATTAAAAAATTGAGAGATTTCCGGATATCTAACAAATATATTTGCACTAGTTTGTTATGAGTAAAAATTTTTTCTTTTAGGTCAAATATATAATCTACCTTTAAGAAATCGTTTTTAAAACATAAATTAACGAACCTGGAGAAATCCTTTAACCTCAGTTGTTCCATTAGTATAGTAAAAAAAAAGATTTCAGCAAATTAAACATTAAAAAGTATTTTCAAGTCATTTCCATTTAAATATTTAAATAGTGTCATATAATGTACAACTCAAATGGGGCCCATTAAACGTATATACAGGTTTGATTACAACTAGAAATGGAAATTAAAGCATTAAAAATATATTATTATTATTATATAATTGCTCACCGATAAAAACAATTGATTTCTTCTTAATTTTATCAATTATTCTCTTTCCAGGGATTTAGAACAAATTATAAATGACANAGTTATGACCACCTGACAGATGTAGGAGGACAGAGGGGCGGCTGTCGACAGCTCTTGCAGCGAAAGGGTGCGTTCTTTCTACTCAACAAGAAGAAGCTTTAAGTGGATTGATCCAAGTGAATGATGATGAAGAGAGGAAAGGTGGACAAGCAGGGAGAGTCTATGGTTGCCAGCTATAGGTACCTGGGAGTATCCAATCCGGGCTTACAGATGTTAGGGAGCAATGAGTGTGATGTTTCCTGTCTGCATGGCACCCGGGCCTCATTCCAGCATATCAGAAGAATTCCTGCACTCAGGCCTAAGAAGCAGCTCTGGAATCTTGTCAACCCTCTTCTCAGTATGAATGAAGCGTGGATGAATGGATGTGCTGACAGATTACAATCCTTGGTAGATCGCAATATAAAACCATACAACACCAAACTTACGCAATAGAAAAATTCCGAGATTTGATCGTAACAACCCGATCATGTCCTGGGGACAAAAAAAAATTTTTTTAAAAAAGATTTTGGAGACTGGATTTAATTTGAAGTGTCGCAACGCCTTAGATTTTAATTTTACCCCACCAACTCACTCATATTTCTTGTAATCCCCCCAAAAAATACCATTTTAGTGTTATATAGCTTTGGTATTTAAGAATTAATTGGCAAAATTCCAATACATTTTTGGGGGAGAGATTGCAACCTTTAGACCTCTTAGTTTTGCAAAAAAAAGAAATAATGAAACATTAATCAATGAAAAGTGATCAAACAAAGATGGTGAATTGGAGGGAGCAATGAACTAACAAGTTGAACGAAGAATACCCAAATAGATTATCGAGTACAATAAGTGGCAGTGAGAAATGGACAAATTATACACGACGTCACAAGTGTCAAAACATAACAAGAAAACCGAGAAATTTTCTCACATTAGTTGACATGTTTTCCAAGATTAAACTAAAAAGTGTACAAACAGAAAATTGAGAACACATAAAATTGCACTTATTTTAATTTAAGATAAGCTCTTTATTCTAAAATTATTACTATTATTAATAATTTTGTCAGACACAAAAAATGAATTGACACTTGTGACGTCAGGATACAGCTGTACTGAGAGTGTACAAATCTTACGTTGCCATCTATTGTACTAGAAACTATTTGAGAATACCAACCACACAACTCTTACCGAATCCTCCGTGCAAGTTGTTGCAGTCTCCTCCAGGTCAGCATCAGTAACTATTTCTGCATCAAGATCAGCCTCATAGCAGGAGATTGGGCTATAATAGAAATAAAACATTGTCGGGTCTATCCTAGAGAACGCTTTTTGGACCCCCCTTTCCCCCAATCCTACCAGTTACAACTTATGTCAGGGGTAGGTTAGGTTAAGAAAAGTTCTGGGCCGAGCACTGCGTCTAGGACAGACTAGGAAGCTGAGCGCTGCGGCTAGGGCAGGCTAGGTGGCCGGGCGCTGCAGCCACATGTCCAACTAATCCATGGAATACATACTAGATGTATGTACAAAAAATTGAAAGGAGAGGGGGGGGGTGCAGGTGCAGGAGCGTTCAAAAAGCGTACATTANCCTGCAGGGATAAATAGAATTATTGGATATCGAGATTAAGCATTCAAAATTAAAAATATCCACACAAAAATTTCGATAGCAGAATATCCTAAAAGGAGTCCTCCTCCTAACAGTTTACCTGCTGTGTATCCTAAAAGGAGTCCTCCTCCTAACAGTATACCTGCAGTATATCCTAAAAGGAGTCCCCCTCCTAACAGTATACCTGCAGTATATCCTAAAAGGAGTCCTTATCCTAACAGTATACCTGCAGTATATCCTAAAAGGAGTCCTCCTCTTAACAGTATACCTGCAGTATATCCTAAAAGGAGTCCTCCTCCTAACAGTTTACCTGCGGTGTATCCTAAAAGGAGACCTCCTCCTAACCCTAATCCAAATCCTCCTGAACTAGTACTCCTCCCATAACCAGCATTGTAACCATAATTACTCCCAGTAAACCTTGAAGCACCTCTGAGAACAAAATTTACTTCTTACTATTTTCTAAACAGTTAAGCTAGGTGTAAGGTAAAGTTAAGCTAGGTGTAAAGTAAAGTTAAGCTAGGTGTAAGGTAAAGTTAAGCCAGGTGTAAGGTAAAGTTAAGCCAGGTGTAAGGTAAAGTTAAGCTAGGTGTAAGGTAAAGTTAAGCTAGGTGTAAGGTAAAGTTAAGCCAGGTGTAAGGTAAAACAATCTCAACCAAACTTTGAAAAAATACATACAATACTTTTATCATCATCAGTCGTGAAACAATTTATATTTTTACGAAAACAAGAGTATGACAATTTAATTTGAGCAAAGCATACTTAATCCTAAAAAAACATTTAATAAGTATATAATTTTCAGAGTGGCGAGGGAGTATAATTTTATAATGGTTATAAGAGTTTAACAATACTAAGTTATGTCATCTGTTTTTTTTAATTTGTTCAAAATTTTGGTTTTAATCTAATTTAAAATATATATTGTTTTTAAAGTGGTGAAGTAGTTTTCCTGTTTACTGTAGGAGCATATCTAGAACTAGTACTGGAGCTGCTGAAGGTTCCACTTGTTCTTGAGCCTGGGACCAAAATTAATGAATAGCGATAATAAGTTGAAATGCGTAGACTAAGTTGAACTATTTATATTGAACTTGAACCGGTGTACACCGTTCAACCTAGTCTACGCAGTTTAACTTCTTAATCTCACATACGCATTTCTACCTGAACTAGTTCTTGACCCTGAGCTAGAGCTAGACGTTCGCCTGCTCTCGCAAACTGCCACCTGCATGTTATTTAATTTAATATAAAGGGACGGTAAGCGTTATTTCAAACGACCCTCTATTGAAAGATGGCTATTCCCGATTTACAACAGTACCGTATTTTTCTGATCAAGTATGAATTAGATTTCACGTTTTTGTTAATTTAAACTACTTAATTTTACTTGAGGTTTCTCTGCTAAAGTGACTTTGCATATGAAAAGCAATAGAGAAATTATCAGAGTTTACACATTTTCGAGTCATAAAAAATTTCTGTTTCATATTTCTTTTGAATAATGATCTTTTTTTAGATACTCATATTTAATTTGGTTAAGTGGTACTTTTAAATAAATGTGCCTTTTCGTATAGTAATCTATAAAATTAACTTATGTTAATCGTTTAATTAAACAAATGTTCTTCACATTTCTATGTTTTGTAAAAACTAGAAAATTAAAGAAATAATTGTATTATTTTGTAAATCGAATAAATAATATTGGTTTCTCCCAAGACTTACCATTAACAAGTATCCAAAAGCAAAACGCATCCTTGCTTCTAAAAAATATGAAAATGTTGATATTTTTTAAATGCTAAAATTGAACTTTTATGGATTAAAGTTTAAAAAAATTAATAGGGTTATTTATTTCTTTTAAAATTTATTTCTGTTCAAATAATGCATTTTTAGTGGAAAATGTGTGACATAAAACATTAACATTAACAAACTAGTTAAATTTGAATTATGCCCTTAAGTACATTATAACTGAATGTTGGATCAAAGTATTATAAAAAAGGATAGTTCTAGGGTTATGGTAACAATGTATACTAAGCACCGACAAGGTTTCAACCAACCAATATTCAACCCGTAATAGAATAGAAAGTAGTGAGGTGTACTTATATATATATATGAAACATATATATATATATATATGTAACACACTTTTTTAAAGGGACAATAAAATTTATTAATACTTCATCAAAACAGATTAAATAGATCAAGAAATATTAATGTTGGCAAGAAAAACAAGCAAACAGAAATTCTAGCTAAATTTTATGTAAACCACCCGGTTAAAAAATATCAGTTCACTGCTGTTAAAAGTTCAATCGATTCTAGCTTAATTTCAAAGACAGGTTTAACTTTGAAGTGTCGCAACTCCCTGGACTTTTAATTACCCCACATGGCACTAACTCACATATACTTACTGTAGTCTTAGCCATGTATATTTTAAACTACAAAGCATCAGATGTTAAAAAGTAGATTCTCGCAGATTTTTGGATCGCTGTGGGATTCTATGGAAAACACAAATTCCAGTCGACTGTTGCCATGCAGAAATCTGATTTGATTTATGAACATGATGTACACATGTAGTGTACACAGAAAGTCTTTGGCCTCGATCGTGTATGGTTTGCGAATTTTTTTGTGCAAACAAAACTGAAATATTTCATTATTTAAAAATAACTTTCTTCATTTGTGGTGTTTAACATTCAGCAGATGTACTTTTAACATATTACTCCACACACAAGTTATGACCTCTAGATAAGTAATTCTAATAATTGGTCAGTGGTCGGAACTTTTGAAGTATCGTAGATCTTGAACAATTGATCTCTGCAGGGTATGACCACCATGGAATATCACGAAGGAATTATATTAATCCGACATAACTTTTATTCTAACCATAAAATCTTTTTTGAGATTTACTGATTTTGAACTTTATATTTTCCCCTTTCCCCGCAGGCGATAATACCAATAAAATGAACACGACTTTTATTAGAGTTTTTATTGTTAACAAGCTTTTTTATGAATTACAAGTTTACAAATAATTAAAGAGAAGCTTTTTTAATTTAGTTTATCTTTGTTTCTATTTTTTGGTTTATCTCTGCTGTGTAAAAGCTTGATGTAAATCAAAATTGAAATCGAAAGTCGTCTTCATTGTATTGATACAATCGCCCACCACCGTACAAAAATCCCAAATCTTCAATTATACATAAAACTAATTTCCTTCAAAAACCACCGTAAGCGTATATTAAAATATTCCATACAAAAATGTCATTGTTATCAATCATATATATAACTTATCCAACAAACAAAATAAAAAGATTTGATAATATAAAGTCACCTGAGTGAGTCAAAAACAATTTATTTTTATCCAACGATCCTTATTATTCAATGATTTTTAAACTTAAGGGTGAGCAAAAAATGTTCAGGACCTTTGAATATATTTTTTATAAAAGCCGAATCACAATGCTTACATAACTAAAATAATTTATAAGTATACTGTTACATTATATCACTACACTTTGATTCAAGTTTCATCAAAATCAAATTTTGTTGTGACCAGGGTACTAATGAAAGGAAAGTTAATTAAGGTCGCGTATACTCTGCGTACATATGGAAACACGGAATTTGTAAACAAGAATAAACGCATCAGTGTTCGTTTTGTATCAAAGGGGGTTAAAAGCATAATGGTTTCCTATGACCAGAATATTTCATTGATTTTTTATGTGAAAATGAATCCCACGTCAGGCTTTGACATCCATCTTGTGTTTACATTACCGCCCAAAGACAGTACACTACAGTACAAAAATGCGTACATCTCTGAAATAACTTTCCTTGCATTAGTACCTTAGTTGTGAACTTGTGATAGTCTTCTTGATTGATTCAATTACTTTTCTGAATTGAAGTAGAATTAGAATTAGAATTAGAATTAGAATTAGAATTAGAAGTGTGGGGGTGGGGCCGTCCGCCCTGCACCTTTAATCTGAGATTATATGATTTTCTAGGCAATATTCTATATGCTTTCTTATCGACCTCTTCGGTGAAAAAGTAAAGGAACACTGCAGCAGAAACAAATACAACTATTTTGTGGATTTTTTCATAACAACTTGACCGGTTTTCTAGTAGTTAAAAGACAATATTAAAAAGTCTTGAAAAATGTTTGCTCACCCTTCACCATAGTTTCAGTAGAAGTAAATATTTCCAATAATGATTGATAGCGCCGATTGAAGGATTCAGAACTCGAATTGGATAATGAGATAGATAGAAATATAGATGTTACCGCCATACTATTTCTATATGGTTCAGAATAGACATCAAACACATGACTGAACTCTGATTGGATCAGGCGCTAATGGACTCGGCATACAGGAGTGCATTTAATATCAATATATGGACTATCATTGTAATTTCAAGTTACCCTCCATTCAAGGAAGAGAATGCTTGATTCACAACGGTACCCTTTCTCTGATCAATAATGTGAAATATAGCGTCTTTTTTAGAGCTTAATAAGTATTTACATCTAACAATTTCATCCATTGTCTCTAAAGCAGAAATGCGTATGTTGATTTCCTGGAAAAGCATGAATCTTCAAAGAGAAAGTTATGGATATCTGACAAAGTTTTTAGGGGTACCTATATGAATCGGACACGTCTGTCTATAAATAGAGCCACTCGAAATTATGTCCTTTCAGGGGGGCTGGATCTTAGCTACCTCTCTCTGTGTATTGGGCTGAGTGTATACTTGGAATAGTTTACTGGTAAAGGATTCTATGACATTATGGCCTATTCATTCAGTACAAACATGAAATATGCAGTACGCTTTCGGAGTACAAGTGTATGGGAAGGTTTTGTATCTTGAATTTTACTCAGTTTTCTCAGAACAGTTCATTAACGATAAAATATTGCTCTGTAAAAGACTGTAAATGTAAGTCTTCCTGTGAAAATGGAATCCTGCACACGATAAAGGAGTAGTGGATTTTAATAGTTACATGGAAACAAATTCTCCATTTAAATATTTTCAGAAATCACCCCCCAGTACTGTAGTATACAGATTGGAAGTGAAGTACATGGCTTGTACAATTAGTAAAGAATTAGCGTACATCAAGGAGAATTGAATAGAAGGAGGGGGCGATAGGATAGGCGTATTTCAAGTTAAAGGGACTGCAGGCATAATTTTAAGTTAAAGGGACTGTAGGTGTATTTAAAGTTAAAGGGACTGTAGGCATATTTCAAGTTAAAGGGATTGTAGGCGTATTTCAAGTTAAAGGGACTGTAGGCGTATTTCAAGTTATAGGGACTGTAGGCGTATTTCAAGTTAAAGGGACTGCAGGCATAATTTCAAGTTAAAGGAACTGTAGGTGTATTTCAAGTTAAATGGACTGTAGGCATATTTCAAGTTAAAGGGACTGTAGGCATATTTCAAGTTAAAGGGAATGTAGGCGTATTTCAAGTTAAAGGGAATGTAGGCGTATTTTTAAGTTAAAGGGACTGTAGGCGTATTTCAAGTTAAAGGGACTGTATGCTTATTTCAAGTTAAAGGATTGTAGGCTTATTTCAAGTTAAAGGGACTGTAGGCATATTTCAAGTTAAAGGGACTGTAGGCGTATTTCACGTTAAAGGAATGTAGGCATATTTTCAAGTTAAAGGGAATGTAGGCGTATTTTCAAGTTAAAGGAACTGTAGGCATATTTTCAAGTTAAAGGGACTTGTAGGCGTATTTTAAGTGACCCTCTATTTAAAGAGGAATACTCTCAATAGACAATAGTACCCTGAAAAGGTTTATCTTATCAAATATGAATTTTACATCAATTTTGAAATCTGATTATTTTTAATTATGGGTTGGCCACGATAGCGACTTGCGCATTTCTACTGCAGAAAAACAATGTGAGAAATTCATTCGAATTAAACCTAGAAAAACGACAATATCTTCCACATTATTGATCAGAAAAAGGTTTCAATGGTACCCTTGTGAGTCGGACATTACCATGTGTTAGGAGAGTCACTTGAAATTACGCTTACAGTTAATTGAATTCAAATTTGCGAAGAAATGAAAATACAGAATTGAACTAGTTTATGTCCCTCCAATTTAAATTTCAGAAAAAGTGATTTTTGCAACCAAAAAACTGGTGTATATGAAACTTCTAAACTCTTTTAAGTTAAATTTTTACACCTAAGAATGATAAACAGCTGATTATATTTGTGTATGTTAATATTTTGTAAACTGTTAATTAAAGGCCCCAATCCATTTTTAATATTTAGTATAAAGAAATTCAACATTTCTGAAATCAGTAGCGGCTTAAAATCTGATATCTTGATATCTATACGGATACATCTTTAAGCACTCTTTATATATATTGATAAGCAAATCTTCACAAAAAACGGAATTATCCTAATTATTTTGAAAGTTGAAAAAGTTTGAGGTCGGAATTGTTCTGTAGAGTATAGGTAATCTGGAACGCTTCATCACGATATCCAATTTGGGCACTTCAAATTTTGAAAATAAAGCTTAATTCCTGAAGTTATGCCTGCAGGGTATGACCATTTTCACTTTAAATCCCTCGATAGTTACACCATTGATAATGAATATTATAACCTGTTCTGTTACAAATATTTTTGAAGAAACTTGAACAAATTCCACTGAAGCATTTCCTATATTATGATCCACAACCTAGACAAAACAAACAAGACCTTAAAATTTTAAATAGATAATTTTAATAAATTTTTTTTATAAAAACTATAGACTGAGAGTGAGAACTATTAATGGACAGAAAGAGTTTAACTCAAATTCTTCGAGTTAAAAATGAGTTTTNAGCTGCTAAAAATCTACCCTTCGCATTAAAATTTATCGAAAGAGGGATGCTTCTTTTAAGTATAAGAACAATGCATATCAGATAAAGCATACATTTTTAAAAACTCTATTTATGATGTAGGGGAAAAAGTTAATGAGTAAAAATCTGTAAATTCTCAGACATGCAACCCTTAAATCCCATTTAAATATTTTTTTCAAAAAATCCCCAAAATTGCATACCTGTGTGCTATTATATATATTGGTAACAAAACATTGTGTTCTAGAGTTAAAAGTTCCTTTTGTACCAAATTCAGATTCAAATTCTTGGCGCTTCCCACAACCTTTAGAGACCTGAATATTCAATATATTTTCATATTTCAGATAAAAATATTAGTCTTAATTTTATATCACAGATAATTAGTTCGTACTTTAAAAGATTGAAATCCAAAATCTTTCCACAATAAGAAATATTTTCATCATTGTTTTAATTCAATGATTCACACAGTCAACAGACATAAGAAAAAGTTAAATGAAACAACACTGGAACGACTTTGTGACATCGTATTAATCGTATCACTTATAGTTCTGATTTCACCCACAGGCGGCATCCCCCCTCTGTTGCACAGTTGTCAACCATTAAAAATAAGGTCTCCGTGTAAAGTCGTCTTTAACTTAGATCCCCTCTCGGAGACACCAAAACCAAACCAAACAATTTTAACCCGGAATTCTTTGTTCCCCTGTCGGAGTCGTAAACAACCTTGCATTGTGAATCCATTTTCAAAAAGTTAAACAAAGAATATTTTCATATAAAGAGTTAGTGACTTTCGTTAATAATTGATTGTCATTTATTTCAGAAGTTTAAAACGTATTTTAGTACTGTCCAGTGTCCAACTATTTAACCCCTTCTTTATCAGCCATTAGATCATAAGAATTTTTTCATTATAACAGTTTTTGTGCGTTATCATTTTTTTTCAGGAAATAAAGAGAATTTCATTGTTATCGATTTTTGAGACGGGGTTAATCTTTTGTGTGTCATTTCATCTTAAGAATCTTGTTGTTATCCGCCAACAACAGTACAACAGTACAACAGTACAACAGTACAACAGTACAACAGTACAACAGTACAACAGTAAAACAGTACAACAGTACAACAGTACAACAGTACAACAGTACAACAGTACACTTCTATTTTCTTGATTATTTCTTAATCTCTGGGAAAGCCCCAGAATGCTGCCAAGACTAATAATCGATCAATATAGTAATGAATAAAATATATGTTTTTACAGTGGTAACTGTAGAAAACAGTGGAATACACAATTATTTCCAGCAAAAAGTATCAGCATTCTGCTAATTACTTCTTTTAAACTGAAGCTAGGTCAATTTTGTTCTAAATTTTAAATTTCTTGCCATGAACAAAAACAATTATAGTGTGAACCAGTGAGGATTCACAATTGTAAATATTTCAGCACAGTTTAAGGCTCCCAAGCGATGTATGTTTGTAGCCTGACAACCCAACCTAACCCAAGCGCCCAAGGGTAATATGTTAATATGTTTGCAACATTATAATCCGACAAGCCAAGCCGAAAGGGATATTGAACCCTTATCATGTTTAGCTGCACCCAGTAAAATTAATCAGAGCAGAGCTAGGCACGAATTGATGCCGGAGAAAGGAAATCTAACGGTATTCCAGCCCGAGGTAGAACGGAGCGTGATCGGCCATGTTGTACCCCAGATCAACATGTTGTACCCCAGATCAACCCAGTTATCATCAAGTACCAAATCAGAAGTCTGATGGGAATATATTCACCACAGGCGAATGTTGTATATTTAGAAACAGTTTCTTAATTAATCAACAGTTTGTATAGTTAACATGTAAATATAGTTTTGTGTGCAAATATACTTCGTTATTTTACTCAATCTTGGCTTTTGACTTTCAGTCTTTTCTCAAGTCTTTATTACAAAATTAATAACGACTTCTCCTAACTAAAGTCAAGAACCGCGACAACACAAATATTGCAACAATTTTTTAGGTATTTCTGTGTAACAATAATTTTTTTAAATGTTTGGCCCCAGAGTATTTATGAATAAAATTTAAAGTGAATATTTTACTGATGTTTTGAACGCTAAATAGATAAAAAAAAAACACCATTCATAACTGAATACTGATATCTTTTCTTATGAAATCGATTTTTATATTTATGTATTGAATCTACCATTATAGACCCCATGGCCAATGGTCATTGGTCATGGATATGAAAAATCAGGATGACGTTTTTTATTTATTTTTCATAAACCCTCATGAATTTATAAATAAAATATTAAAATGATGTTTACATGTTCATTGGAAAAAAGGAATAAGGTTTTTTTTTCTGTTGTAATAAAAAATATTTAAATATAGGGATTCTTCCAAGACCTTAAGTCAAAAATTAGAAGTTTTCATAGAATTCTATCTATATATAATAAAGCTCTTCGCTCATATATCTATATGTATTTGTATATATATTTATTTTTTATATGTCAGCTAAAGCTGGTCTAACGGCAGGACCAAATGGGATAAATTTTTTGAGGGAATCCTTGAGTACACCGGGGGTACCAAATGCTAAAAAGATCAACATTTTTTTTAAAATCTAAACTTATTTTCAAAAATCGATTTAAAAAAATTCTACGGGTATGACTCCGGGCACTGGATGGTATATGCTTCTCAACCCTAATCCTGTTGGGGTACATTAGTGGGGGGGGGTAAATTTTTCCCTCCCCCTTTAAATCACATATTTGATGTCCAAATATTACAAATGATACATCATTGGAAAGCTCTTGTGTTCTACTTTTAGAATCTGCAAAAAAATTAGCATATCAGCAAAATTTGATTTTTTGGAAAAATCCTGTTTTAAAGTAAAAAAGTTTGCAAAAATGCAACAAAAAAATGTCTTAAAAATGATAAAATATACATTTTAAAAAAGCCCTTGACCATGCCATTTCAAATATGCAAAAATGTTGGCAAAATTTTAAATTACCTTATGTGTAATTAAGAAACGTGCAAATTTCTTTTGACGGGTTGTATGCAAATTTCTTTGTAAAACTTGTGCAATCCGTTTTCTTATGTCATAGGCTTTCAAAAAAGCTAAAAATTATCAAAATCTGACAACTGAAAGTGGGTCAAATGAAAGATTTAGTTTGTATTTTAGCATGAAACCTCCTATTTAAAAAATGTTTTCCTTTTTTGTATAGAACTGAAAACCAACCTGAAGGAAGCCTTTGACCTCTACAGTTCCATTTTCATAAGTTGCATTCATTACTTGGAGGGTTACACGACCAAAACATACATCCTAAACACAATTCAGAGTCAAAACATACAACCTAAACACAATTCAGAGTCAAAACATGCAACCTAAATACAATTCAGAGTCAAAACATACAACCTTAACACAATTCAGAGTCAAAACATATATCCTAAACACAATTCAGAGTCAAAACATACATCCTAAACACAATTCAGAGTCAAAACATACATTAAGGATAACGGACGTTTCCGAATTTTTCTACAAATTTTTCAAAATTAAAGAATATTGATATCTACATTTTAAACGTGACAGAATATAAGAATTTACATTTAAATCTTTGAAAAAAAGCAATGGACATTCTAGATTTTCTAGGAATAGTTGTGACGTTATCAGCGTTGAGTTCACAAAGTACACTGGAGTAATCTCTAATTTTACGGCTTTTTAATCAGCATTTCAGAGATATATACAATGAGTTCTCTGTCTTCAATTATTAGTCGAGGGTTTAAAAGGTATCGTTGTAAATCTGGGAGATCCTTCTTTCAATTGGAAATCACTTATAACAACTTATCCAGTCCCTTTAAATGAAAAATGCTTACAGTTTCCACAGAACAAGTTGTAGCAGTCTCATCAAGATCCATATCTGTTACTATCTCGGAATCCAGTTCACCCTCGTAGCAGGATATCGGTCTAAGCAATAACAAAACTAAGATTTAAAATTCGGTGATGGTGATGGACCAAACCTCTGTAGAGTAAAAAAAAAGTAGATGTTAGTTCCACATTTATTAAAATATATTTCGGTCTGGGTTGACCCCATAGATAAATAAATAAAAGATAGCTTATGTACGCAAAATCACCAAGAATTGTACAGTCCGCGAACTCATACTTCTAGGGGTCAAAGCGTACTTCAATGATAAGCGGGGTGGTTTGGTGTTTTAATGGATTTCATAATTATTACCACTCAGAAGTGAATTTTATTTTGAGAAAATCAAATTATATATATCTGAAGAAGGACATGAGAAGGAATAAACTAACTTAAATTTCTTTTTACAAAACTCATGTACACCACAAGTACTCAATGACATAAGAACAGCCAATGTTCACAACCGACCTAGTTAATCTATATAAAAGGAATATCTTTAAAACATCTCTGTACATTTATATCTTTCAAGATGAAAAATGTCGTCTTATGCGCAATCTATCTTTATCTATGTTTGACCCTCGTCAGTTCTAACGATAATAACCATCAAAATCGATATAAATTTTTTAAATTGTTAAAAACCACAAGAAAATAAACAAACAAAAAAGATTTAAAAACAAAAATTTGGCTGTCAAATGGACATTAGGGAAACAAACTCGGATTATGAGATGGAAAAAAGATAATTTGCGAATAAGAATATTCACTTTAAAAAAATGTTTTAAGACAATTATTATTCCATAAGATTGTTTCTGTCACAAAGATTAAAAACAAACTGTTTAGATGTATGTGTATAAAGCGGTGTGGGGGTCGATCTAATTAACAAACTTTTACGTAAATCAGTGGGAGGGTGAGGGGCGGGGGCTTTTTTAAGGAGGGGTATTTAAACCTTTTAACGAACGATGAACGATTAAATTAGTTTATTAACCCTCTCCCAGTTAAATGTAAAATATTCCATTTGCTTTAGCGGCCTTGTTCAGTGATTAAAATGCCGTATTTGTTGAATGACCGATTTTACTAACAGAACTTTGTTTAAGAACAAACCATTTTATGAACAAACAGTGTTTCTGAACAAACATTTCTCCTGAAAAATCTATTTAACTAATCGACCAAAGTTTATTTATCATTAATTCAATTAACAAACAACATTCAAGTAAAGTTTCACAGTTATCAATACTAAACCCGGGCACAATCTCGTCAGCTATCAATGTCTACACAGACACAAGCACGCAACTGTCAATGCCTCTTACTTGGACACGAACTTGAGCTCTCAATGCCTCAACTAGGACACAATCTTGTAAACTATCAATGCCTCTTGCTTGGACACGATCTTGAGCTCTCAATGCCACAACTAGGACACAATCTTGTAAACTATCACTGCCTCTTGGTTGGACACAATCTTGAGCTCTCAATGCCTCAACTAGGACACAATCTTGTAAACTATCAATGCCTCTTGCTTGGACACAATCTTGAGCTATCAATGCCTGAACTAGGACACAATATTGTAAACTATCAATGCCTCTTGCTTGGACACAAACTTGAGCTATCAATGCCTCAACTAAGGACACAATCTCATAAACTATCACTGCCTCTTACTTGGACACAATCTTCAACTCATTCGTTTAGTACAAGGACATGATTACTCCCACGCAGTAATAAAAGCGGAGTCTCTATATCAACTAGTGTATTTGAGGTTTATATATTACAAATTAAAGCTAATAGACGCTATTACGATTCCTAAGTCGTTATCAATATCACATGATTAAGACAAAAATATTATCTACTATTGCACAGTTGAAATAAGCGCAGTTAAGATGTACGTTATTATATATATCACAGGATTAAGCTAATCCTGCTACGCATAATGGGCTTTACATAGAAGTTTACAAACATAGATAGTTGATAATGTACAACGTACTACAGGTTTTCAGAATATCATGTTACCTGATATTTATTGCTAGAATACAACTATACTGCACACTCAAATGCAAAGTGATATTGCGACGGGACTATGCATTTTCCTTAGCATTATCTTCCTACCCCAGAATAACAAGTCGTGGTTTTTCTGGTATTCAGTCCTGTTCTTGGCTTACATAGTTTAAAAAGAACATACCTAGTTCTATCATAACTATTCTGGTTTCTGCTCACAGGCCGACTGTGTCCATATCCATATCCATATCCAGGACTAGACAAGCGACCTAAATACATCAAACTTTGATAAAGGACTTAATATCATAAATCATCATTCACTTAAGATCTGAAAGGTACACAATGTGGAGGCGGGGACACTATGAAGCTGAGGCCTGAAGTCTATCATGGCTATATGAGCACATGTGTGTAACATCCATGTATTATAATGGAACATGGTGGTTGCAGCTAGATTCATTTCTTCTATAATCTATGCACCCACCCTATAGGCTAAGCTAATGGAACCCTGCAGGGTCAAAATTTAAGGCGCATACAGTACAGTAAAAGGCTAGTCAAAGTTGGTAAAACTGGTCAAAATATTGGGCGTGTATAAAATAGATTTATGGTAAAAAACCCATGATGCTTTACAAAAACTTTAACCTGCGGTGTATCCTAAAAGGAGACCTCCTCCTAACCCTAATCCGAATCCTCCTGAACTAGTACTCCTCCCATAACCAGCATTGTAACCATAATTACTCCCCGTAAACCTAGGAGCACCTCTGAGAACAAAATTTACTTCTTTTAACTGCAGGGTGTCCCAAGAAACATGGGAATTCAGTGACGAATTTGATATCGTCTTTGTTATGAATTAGCATTGTAATACCTAATTTCAAATGCCATTATTATGTCTGCTAGAGTTTATTTTATGAAAAGGGTAAATGGCTATAAAGATGTGTCAATAATGTCTAGCTGCGCAAGATGAACAGTGAAGACGGACAAGTTTACTCTGTTTGTATACTGCAATGTTCTTTTTTTACTTAGTTTAACTGTATACAGTCAAAACATAAACAAACAAATTGTAAACATAGCAGACGAAAATCTTACGGATTACAGCTTTCTCAGTAGGTATCACTATACTAAATCAAAGAATTATTTAAAAAGACGACATGGAATTTGTCACTAAATTCTCATGTTTATTGGGACACCCTGTATTTACCATGGACCAAAACTCAGAACAGGAAAAAGAACTTTTATTACAATAAATAACAAAAATACTTTAAAGAGATGAAATCAGATTTAAATTTTTTTTAATGTCTTATGAATTAATGAAATTATTTTGTCATTTAAAATTATTATATTAAACCAAGCAAGGTCTCCCTCCAATGAAATCAGCTTTGAAAACTGAACCCACCGGCCGGAAACATTTAAACCGACTTAAAGTGTTGATGGCGAAGATGTCGGGTAAATAATTCTGAACTTTTGATGTTCGACATCAGCATGTCGGAGACTAAACGTTTGCAGGGCAAGCTTCTCCTTGGAACTGATATTAACCTATTGCAAACAAAGGGTTTCTTGATTAAACCTCAGGATATTAATTTCTAAGTAATTTTCCTGTTAATGGCTCCTCCATATCTACCACTGTTACTGTAACCTCCACTTATTCTAGAATTTGATCCAAAACTTGATCTAGAGCCTCCGAAACTTGATCTAGAGCCTCCGAAACTAGATCTGGAGCCTCCTCCCCCTCTACCTCTTCCCTCAACAAGTGTGAGCTGACACAGAAGCTATATTATTGGAATACAAATGTGAGGACAATTAAAATTCTATCTTGATATTCTAAATGCTTTGAAAATGCATTGACTAAGTTAATGTCAGCACAATTTAATAGCAGTTCAACCTTTGCAGAGAGTTAATATTCCTTTGTATAGAATTTAAAAGGTTAATAGGCCATAAGTACAGTTCAAATGACAAAGAACTTTTCCTTAAACTTGATTTCCATATTTAGCAACTTGACATTAAAAAAAACAGTCTAATATTAATGATAACGATTTAAGAATTGGACTTTCACAAACTTAAGCGTGTCACACTAAACATGGCAATTGCTTAATAATTAGAAAAAGAATGGCATGGATTGGATTTTTGTTTTTAAATCATATGTATTTAAAGTTTACTCTACGTGACCTTGTCTTAAAAGAAAGTTAAAATATTCTTTCAGAACTTAGCTTTAAAAGCACTGACATTTATCAGAAGGACTAAACAGAAGTACCCTTTGTTAAATAACTATTTAAAAAATAAGTATGATTGTTTGTAAACAAATACTTAAAATCCCTTAAAAACTATCACCATATTTATGTTATTTTCTTTTCTCAAACCTCATGTATACTTTGCAAAAATAATTGGCTTCATCAGGAGTTTGTCTTTAATGTTTAGAAAAAGTAAAGAATGGTTGAAAAGGATTTAAGATAATATAGTGTTCTCTGCAGTTACCAGCATCAATAAAAACCCGACATCTCGGTGCATCACTGCATTCAGTGTACTGTACTTACAGAAGTTAGGTACTTTCCCAACAAAATCTTCCAAAGGTTACTTTTCCACGTGGGAACTTCCCAACAGTGCAATATTCCGGCAAACGTCAACTTCTTAATTGTGTCACAGCCGCAGCACTAGCCCATCCCAGCCGCAACACTCGGCTCCCCAAAGCTGCCTACGGCGGCTTAGAAGGCATATCCTAACCTTTAGGAAGTTGCTCCTTAGGAAATTGCACATTTGGGAAGTTGCCACTTGGGAAACTGTCACTTGAGAAGTCGCCATTGGAAAAATGCCTTTGAGAAAATACCTAACACCTATTCACAGAATTATGACTAAGCGCACACTCTATTGTATTATTTTCTCTATGGTCTATGAGAAAGGGTGCTGTGTGAGAACTGTTGTTAAACTACCATGGTTCCAAACCAACGGGATATTTTACAGAAAAGAAAGTCGTAGACTCGGATCGTGTATACATAATTTACGTAATTCGTCAGAAGTTTGAGAATATAATTCTTCATTTTCATGTTTAAATTGAAGAAATGGAGGTTAATACTTGCATGCAACTTAAAGGTTTATATAATGTATATTGTCCCCCCCCCTCCCCTTTCCCCATGTATACCCATTCGACTCTTAATTAAGTAAATAATTAAAATTAACATGGTGATTTGTTTGAAAAATATGCAAAGCAATGCATTGTGTGTTTATTTCACAGTGTGTCCCACCAAAATGACAATTCAAAGACGAAGTTTATGATATTGTATATACTATATATATATATTAGTAAAGAGAGCAGGAAAATTCAACAAAGTACTAACCAGAACCAGATGCGTTTGGTTCACTAAGATCCAAACTGCAATAAAAAGTTTCATCAATTTTCAAGATCGGGTCAACTTTAGTGTTTTTCAAAGCCTTGCCTTTTATTTTCACAACCAAACTCACTTATATTACAGTACATTAAAAAATCATGTAAAAGCTTTGTTTTTGCGTTAGTTTTTCAGAAGTAAATTGCAAAATACTGAACGATTTTTGTCTTGCAACCTTTTGAATCACTGTGGAGTTTTTTCAATTTGAATTCAATCGAGTTTTTTTTTTTTCATTTGAAGCCCATCCACCGACAAAAAGAGACAAATAATTGAGACTTAATTGGTAAAATTGTGATCGAAAGTCACAACTGCAGCTTTCGCATATTCATAATTATATTTTGTTCTATTCAAATTTCAGGACATAAACACGTTAGTAACCAATACTCGTTTAGTAACCAAGTTATGGGGATGGAGTGTGTGTAATTAGTTACTTTTAGATCATGTACTGAAGTTCAGCAAACTTTCCACCGACCAGAAAGTGGATAGTTGTCCACACTGCATGGTTAGTCACACGTTCAAACCCTGAACCTGAACCTGAACCTGAGCCTGAACCTGAACCTGAACCTGAACCTGAACCTGAACCTGAACCTGAACCTGAACCTGAACTTGAACCTGAACCTGAACCTGAACCTGAACCTGAACCTGAACCTGAACCTGAACCTGAACCTGAACCTGAACCTGAACCTGAACCTGAACCTGAACCTGAACTCCTTCTTATTTCTATACGTCCTTGAACCTGAAAATCATCTTTACCTGTAGAGTAGGATATGAGGAGTCCAGCCCCCAGTCCAATCCCAAACCCAGATCCAGCAGATGATTTAAAAACTGTAATAATGATTGAGTTAAAATACAGTTGTCGTCGTAGATATTAAACCAATGAAGACGACTTTTGATTGAGATTTTTGATATTTACAAACCTTTCGAACACCAAGGATGCCTATAAACATTGAAACAAAAAGAAGCTGCTTCTTTTTGTTTACTGGGGGAGGGGGGGGGGAAGGCAAGCCGCACCCATTAAGCCTCCATCCCGCGATTTACTCACAAACATAGAGCTGCGGCAACGCGCTTCCTAAAAGCTATATGTGTGCGGCTTGCCTTCTCCCCCTTATTTACTTGTAAACTTGTTATTTCAAAAGCTTGTTAAGATCAAAATATAAATATAAAAGTCGTCTTGATTGTAATGATATAAACACAACGATAATATATATATAGATATGCAGACAGGTATAAATTTAGAGGTCTTGAGATAATGAGCACAAAGCACCATCTCTGTCGTACGCATGGCATTTTATCCTCTGGATTGTTGCTAATTTATCACTTTGTTTATGCGTGATAACACTAAATGCGTACTATTGTATCAACAATGTATACTGCATATTGTACTTAATGAAACAAATTAATCAATGCAAATAAAACTGAGGTAGGAATTTGACTAGACAGAGTTTAAATGTGCAAGTTGTACTGAATGGCATACGTAAATTAACGCAATTTAAATAAAAATTATGACTATAAAAGTACATCGAGTCTAGGACAAATTACAACGTATCTGATCATAACATAAACAAAACGCGTACTGTATGTTTGTGTTACCTTGAAATTTAATTTTATTGGTCAAACAGGTCCAGATAGCAACACTTGAACTATACAGGATGCAATACGCGTACTGTATGTTTATATAACACAAATGCGTATTTCCTACAGATAGCAGAAAGGGGAGAAAGGCATATAGAAAGTAATCAATTTGCTATAGATGTCTCTTTGTGCACATTTTTTCAGAGGTTCAAAAATTAGTTGTCTGCTACAGGCAATTTAGGAAGGAGGTTTCTACCTGCCTGCATATCTATATATATATTATCGTTGTATAAACACCAACCATTGTAGAACAATAATAAATGTGCAAAACGTATGAAACTAGAAAAAGAGGATTTGAATAAGTTCTTATGCAAGCTTAAGCAAGAAAGATACACGGTAAACTATAAAGAATGAGACTTCAGAGACGACTGTACGGAATTAATTCAGACCTTTTTAATACATTGATGGTTTTCTAGTAGCTTAGCACCTTTTGAGTTCTTTGACAAATAATATATACACATATAAAACTTTGAATTTATGATCGAAGACCAAGTTTATTCTTAAAGGGACAGACCGGCTATGTAGTATGCAAGATAGCTAAACTGAGTATGCAGTGGTATGGACAAATTCTTTAGGATTCATTTGAGACATATAAAACTTGTCCACGATGTATAATTACTGAGTTTGAGTGCATAGTCGACGTACAAAATCATGAATTTGGGTGGGTACGCTTTCAGAATCGGTTTTTAAAAATTTTTTTAATAACGATGTGAATAGGATCCAGGATGAATATAATTGAATAATTTGGTAAACCCTGAATTACATTTCGAGTCTGTCTGCAAATGTCGTCTTACTTCCTTATCTAACTAGGGCCATTCTGGCTCTGAACCCCTTCTTTTAATCAATAAATCTAAAACCATTTTTTCTTCATTATTCACATACACTCATTCCACCATCTATCTATCTATCTATCATTCTCATCAAATTGTAGGATTGTCGTCTTCGTTAAAGAAAAAGATAAATTACTTATGAGGATGATCGGATGTAAATGGTATTGATTGAAGCATTGGAAATTCTTGGAGAACAATAAATATTTATATACAATTCTCAACATGAATGAAACATCTAAGTACTGAGGTTGTAAATGCATATTTGTTTATGATTTGATTAATGAACAATTGTTAAACCTTGAACAGGGTTGTTTCTGATTGATTGAAGGATGAAAAATGACTTCCATAAGGGTCTTTCTTCCTTATTAATTCAGGATCGAGTAAGAAATTTTCCAGATAAAAGAGACAATATTCACCCGAGGAGCCTTTAAACCTGGACCAGACATAGTGCCTTGATCTAGGCCAAGCACGAGAATTGCACAGTGCAAATTCTGCCCAGTCGAGTCAGTCTAGGCAGCACCACCATCATAATCGGAGCTGAACGACTGTTCGTGGCCTATCGCTACGCGAGTAATGTCCCCTAATTGGAAATTTCCATAAAATTAATCATTACAGATAATTTGAAAATGCTGCTAAAGATCACCAGAGATTTATAAAGGAAACGGAGTGTATTTTTCCGTTACAACGACGACGAAAAATAAAGTAAAAATTATACAGTAAACTAATTAGATGGTTAGGAAGATATTTCTCGAAAATAATTTGCCAATAAATCAATTCTAGATTCAATTATTTCGTTTTATCATTATATTGAATTTCTTATTTCGATGAATTTATTTCAATAGTTCTTCCAGAAAATCTGCAGGAAATCTTTGTGAATAATGAGAGCTTAGAATAATAAGAAAATAGAAACTAATAATTGAAAAAGATTACTTTTTTCGCTGATAAGATTAATTTTTATTTTCTCAACCTCTTCCTAAACAACTATTTAGTTTACTGTAGAATTTTGTTTACATTTTTCGGCGTCGTTATTTCATGATTAAAAAAAACAATTCTGAAAACGTATCCACCCAAAGTACGATTTTGAACGTCGCCTTTGCGCTCAGACTCAGGATTTACAGATCTTTTAAAAATTGTGTGTCTCAAATGAATCCTAAAGAATTTCTTCATAACACTGCAAACTCGCCTTACATCGCCGGTCTGTCCCTTCAAAAATGCAAAATAAAAATTAAAAATTATAATAGGAGCAAACCGAGAATCTCAGGCTCCTGTGGGGTATCGTCGTTTTCAGATTGGTTGCGTATTTGTTGGATATGATCTGTTTAATACTACAACTTTTATACAAAATTGCATGTACTTTAATTTTCGTATAAATTTGACACAGTTTTATATAAATTTCTCGAGACAGGAACATCAGATAGATGTCTTATAGGTATCGTTCAACGATTGTGATTCTCGGGTTTTAGGCTACGCTACGCCCCCTTTCATTTTCCTTTACAGTCCCTTTAAGGGGCTATTCACTATAGTCTGAGTCATCTGAGATAGTAATTTTCTTTCAAAAATTGTATGCTTGTATTCACATTCTTGTGGAGCACGTTTTAAGTAAAGACCACCTAGAATGTTTTAAATTTGGGAACTATGTGTTAATCTACCTGCTGGAGGGGCCGGAGTTTGAAGGTTAGATTTGGCAACTCTCCTTCGTAGCTTGCCCCCTGCAACCCCTCCTCTAGATGAGCTGGTCGAAGAAGGTTTTCTTCATTTATACAAGAAATCATGATTTATTATGTTGACGCATGCGAATCAATTCGACATTATTTAAGATTAAATCCCATTCCTTTCTCCTCATTCATAATTAAACTACAGGGTGTCCCATGAAACATAATTAAACTACAGGGTGTCCCATGAAACATGAAAGAGTTGAGAGACGACTCAAAGGTAGTTTTTTGATCTTAACAATTTGTCATATCTCCGGCAATATTGAAAGCACAAAAAGGCAGAGCGCACACTGTACTAGGGGTGTTTTTATTATCTTTCCATATACAAAAGGTTGTCAAAAGAATGCTTCAACTTATTTCCAAGATCTACAACGACTTTTATGTTGTCTCTTTGCTGACATGTTTCGTGGGACACCCTGTATATTAAAATGCACACATTGTAGAAGCCTGACTTTTAGTTATAAGAAAATATGATTTTGTCCTACATGTTAAAATTAGAATTGAGTTTGCATAAATGCGCAAACAGTTTCACTGATATTTCGCAAACTTGTTCAATATCGGATTTTACAATAGTCATTCTTAGTATGTTAAAAGAGTAAAAAATGAATAAATAAACTTGTGAAAATATGTTATCATTCTGAGTTATTGAGACTTCTACAGCATTACATATGTACAGACATCAAGTGTGAAAGGAGAGATGAAAAAGTAAAACCCCATCAAAAAATGTGCAGGAGAACGCCCTAGTCTGTTCAAGCCGCAGTGCTCGGCCCGGAAATAAGATTTTGAAGTCATGATTGTTTCCTGTCCACTGCATTAGAATATTTATTTCCTCCACGCTTAGTCCCAGTGTTGTTAACTGGCCTTTAATTATACATAAAATACATTTATCTGTAGAAGATTTGTTACTTTAATTGAGTGAGACCGGTTAGATATCGTAGTTGAGCTGAGAGTGCAGAATTGTGGAGATATTTTTAAGGCTTCATTTGAGACCTGTCATTGACATTTTTACGGTGTACAATCGCTGAATTCAATCATTGAAATTCTCCCGGATTGTCCATTTTAAAAAACTGGGTTTTTAAAATTATTTTATAACGAAGACAGAAAATGTAACAAAATTTATACAGTGGTAGGTCGGATTGGGCATTTCAGAACAAACTTAACTTTTAAGAACAAACCAACTTTCAGAAATAATCGATGGACGAACGAGATGGATTATTCAGAACGTACAATATTTTCGGACAAAAGGGACTGTAGAGTGTAGACGTCACTTCATGTGAACCAGGGCCCTCTATTAAGTATTTACAACAGTAGCCTTTAAACTGTTGACTGATCCAAGAACGACGAACGCTTGTAATTGTTAACAACTCATGTTAACAAGAAAGACATAATTTCGTTTGAAGAATTGCATCTTTCATTCACAACGATACCATTTTGATCAAGAATCTCAGATTAGAAATATTTTCGAATCTGAGTCAAGAACAGATAAGTTATCCACGATATGTTATTTACAAGTGCAGTGGTTTCTCTGAAAAAATGAATTGCAGATTTCTTGCACTAGAAAAGTTGGATAAAAATATTGTATAACAATCAACACCTCCACAGTCCATTTTAACAAACGTACTTAAATATAAATCCAAGTAAAAACGTTATCAAGAAATCAGTGCTTAGGAATCATTAAATTTTGATGCGGAAAAAAATGGATCCGGATCATGAACATTTCTTTAAGATTTACCGATTTTTTAACAGAATAAGAATTTTCAAATAATTTTTCTTTCATTTTTTTTCTTTTTTTAATATGCTAAAACTTGATGAACTATTCATAGATGAGGATATTTTTGATAATCTCTTTTTTTAGTAGTTCAGATTCATCTTCAATTACAGATAATGAGACAGAAAAGTCACCAAGTACGTGATTGAACCCTGATTGGATCAGACTCTACCGGAATGTTAAAACAAGGGTGATGTAGAAAATGTGCCTACACGTGTATCCCCTCTTTGAGTCCAGACCTTTGTCCCTCAGTTAAACTCCAAGTATGGATAAGCAAGACCAGAGCAAGGACGTATCTCATCCTTATCATGAATTAAACTAAATATATCCAGGTTGGTTTCTTCCAGATTTTACAAGAGGTGAAATTAAAAAAAAATTCTAAAAATAACTTTTTTAGTTTTGATTAGTATTAACTTGCTTCAGAATGAAAAAAGAGAAGTGCTAAATAAAATTTTATAAATAAGTTCATCAAAAATATTCTTCCCTTTAATTTCGAAATATATTTCTTGGAAATGTTTGAATAATTGAGTGAAAAGTGAGTAAAATATTCAATATGTGAATATAAATAGCTTACCAGGGTTCACATGCAATGTCAAGAGTTCACATTTTTTCTTCTTTTAAATATATTTTTGACATTTATTATTCCCCCCCCTCCAAGTGGGGGATTTTAGGGAGTTAAGGGGGGGGGGGTTGAATTAAGTCACAATCTTTTGCTTAAAAATATTCCTTGTTTTTCATGATGAAAATGAACAACAAGTAAGCGTTATATCTTTTCATTTACAAATATTGTATTAAGTATCTTGCATCAATTTAATAAAATAAAAACTATGACTATAAAGTACATAGACTCTAGGACTCAGTCCTAAAAGCGGACAGGATCCAATCGAACAATACATCCCATTCAACACTACTATGGTCGGTAGCTCCTGGCTCTTCATGGCTCATCAACCCCTTCACCCCATTAAAAAAGACTCCATTACTTTCCTAAAATGATCATCCTAGGTTTTGGGTGTCTCATACTTCATATGGAATATATAATCGGAGAAAATTTCAAAATATCAAAAACAAACAAAAAAACAAAAAATTAACTGAACAATTTTGTAAAAATTAAGTTATAAATGAGCCAGTGCTTTGCCATGATACACCTGGAAACTCAATGTTTATCAAATTTTCGATTGCTTCCAGATGGTTAAAAAATAAATCAGGACTGGTTGAAACAGATCCACCTATTCAAAATTGCAATAGTTTTTTTTCCAAAGTCCAAAAAGTGTCAACCAGTACATATTATTTAAAAATATTTCAATTCAATACTTTCCGCGTAATCAATCAAGTATATCTGCTATTTTGTGTACCTTTGCAGTGGTCAAATGTACATAGGTTACACTGGAGAACTTAAAAAAACTTTTTTTGCTTTTTTTTTACAGAAATTACAGCTGATTTAGGATAATTTAGATCTATAATTAGATTATAAGGACCATTAATCCAAGATTCTGGAGCGTCACAATCATGGCTTGGGTATTTGTTTCGTCTGTATAAATTACCTAGTTAAGGGTTTTCACGGAATTGACCCGTTTTCCGTTTAGATTTTAGAACTTCAGTTCTCTCAAAAAAATTCATAATCGGCTGAGCTTTATTTGATTTGAATTAGAGGTGTAGGTTGTAGACTCATTTTTTTCTGACCTCCCCCTTCTTCCTCTATTTACTCGGTACTGAAAACTTTATACATAATAATAGAGCATGTATAACAAAAACATATCAAATACCTTTTTTGGAAAATTTGAAAAAACTTTATTTTTACCGATGCAAAACAGCAGCACCTGTTCGTATGTACACCACAATCAGTAAAAAAGGGAATACACAAGAGTTTTTACTGATGCATAATCTAGCATATTTGTCTTTCAATTAATGCCATATATTACTCAGTGGCATTGGCATAAAGGGGGGAATTGAATTAATTTACACTGTAATTTATCACTGATATTTGATCTCACGTAAATATTTACGAAAATTGCGCAGATTACGCAAAAATGTTTAGTACGCGTGTTTAGCTCTTCTTTTTGAATGCAATATTCTTGACATCGAAGTTGACTTTTGCCCTGTTCTGAACAGGGACGGAGTTGAAGCAGAACTGTTTAAACTGTTCTATCTCTCTATCCGCAGCATCCAGTTCATCCAATCCGTCGCGAGGAGCAAATATAGAATCTAAACAAGAGTATATTTAAATGAGAAATCATTTACCCCCCTCACCCTTAAAATGAAAATTTAAAAAAGCAGGTCATTATATGATAAAATGACTTAACAAACAAATATTCAGCAGACCATGGATAAAAGTCGGATTTTTTTTACAAACTAATATCCAATTTACTTTTTACCCCCCCCCCTCCCTCTCTAGGTTTATTAATATGCTTTCTTACTGATTTCTTCCATCTTATCCTCAGCGTTCTTTCTTTTCTTCTTGTTCTTCTTCTTTCCATTTTCTTCTTCCCCGTTCACATCATCCTAGAATAGAAAAATATATAATATTCTTAGTAAAAATTCAAAAAAATATTTTTTTGAAGTACCACAAAGAAATTATTTGTAGGGACTGTCAAGAGTAATTACATGTTACCCTTCATTTTCAAAGTAGATTACCCGATTACCTACTGTACTGTACTGTACTGTACTGTACTGTACTGTACTGTAAATAAAGTATGAATGTTTTCTTTCAAATCTTTTTATTTTCCTTTCTTAATTTCTAAGAGAGACTAGCACATTTCTTTCTTCAGAAACAATGAAGAAACTATCTGAATTATGCAACAAGCAAGAAAAAAGGCATTATCTCCCACATTAAAGATCAGATTAATGGTTTAAAAGGTACCGCTGTGTCTTTGAGTCGGGCATGCCCATTTTCAAATTAAGGGTTACTCAGAATTACGAGAACAGTCTCTTTGACAACAATTAAGTTTATATTGAAACTAGCTGAAGGGCCCAGCATTGCCAGTCGGGATTTTTTTTTTTAAAGCCTATAACAACCCCCGGTCACCTCTGAGTGTCCACAAAAAAAATCAGCCCATTCACTCCAGCCGTTTGGCCGGCTATACGCAACATATATATGAGTGTCTTGTTTTGTTATATCGATTACAAAGATCTATTTTACTTAAAATAAAATATATTGATAATTAGACGTCATTTATAACATACATCACTTCTGACAGAAATGGGAGAGGGGGGGGGGTTGCATCATTCATTTACATAGTTTGATAAGACAATAATTGACATACATTTGTTGCTTCGAATCATAAGAGACAAAACCCCTTCAATGTGCCCAAAATGACCGACCGCATGGGTGAAGAAAACAGGTATTCAATCTAAAATCTTCCAACATTTCTTTAACCTTTAAAAGGGGCATTAACATAAATTTCAAAATCATTACCTGCACAGCTGGTATTTGGGTAATTTCAACGCAGTTTTTTACGCCGTTGCTGACCGGAACTTTCCCGTTCTGAAGATGAGCTGAGGCGGGTAGAGGCGGAGAAGGCTTTGACGGGGCGGGAGGACGGGCATCCCCAGAATTCGGCAGCGGTGGGTTATTCCCTGTTCCTGGAACCGGTGTTATAATAACTCTTCCGTTCACAGATTTGATTAGCACCTGACCACCACCGCCGACACCAGCTTGTGGATCATAACCGCCGTACATGGCGGGGTTCCATTCTTTCTTTGGCTCTGCTGGGCCGGGGGCAGGCATAATCCCCGGATACGGATTAGATGCACCGAAAACCGTTGCTCCCGGAACCGATTCTACTCCGGCCTTCTTTCCTTTCTTCTTCTTCTTCCCTTTTTCCTCCTCCTTCCTCATTCGCTCTTCCTCCTCCCTAGTTGTCAACTGGTTTGTGTCGACAACAATCACGTTAGAGTTGTCCCCGCTACCCCCGTTCCCCATACCGAACTGAGGCTGCATACTGCTTGAATACTGGGACTCTGGTGTGAACGGAGTACCGGCGAATTGACTGGATGAGAAGCTGGGCATAAACTGACCGGGCTGGGGTTGAGCCCAAGGTTGGAAAGGTTTTGACTCCGGTGCCGGCTCCGGAGCTGGTTTACACGGGAAGTATTTACGCTCCGGGACGGGTCCGGTAATCCGGGAGATTGAGATTCCTTCCGGCAAACTTAGTTTATCAAGATCCACATGACCTGATCAGAACCAATCCGTCATTAAAAATAATTGACGTTTGGATATAATCTTTGACATTGAGTAATAAAAGGGGGGGGGGGATTTAAAACTTACTGAAAATAATTGTTTTCATTAATTCTTTGTTTTATAATGACGGGTTGGTTTCCTTGCGAGGTGAGAGGAACCCTGGCGGGTTGTTGAGCAGTTTGAGGAAAGGCAGGGAGACGAGGAGAGGGCGTTACCGAGGGAGGGAGGGGCTGGGAGGAAGGGGGGCGTGGCAGAGTAGTTGTAGGGGAAGGGGTGGAGTCTTCTGTTTTTACCCCCTGTTTCCTATTCTTCTTCTTCTGCTTTTTAGAAAGAGCAGCATCCTGATCAAGTTTAAGATAATATAAATATAGAATATATATAAATATATTATATAAATAGAATTTTAGAGAGGCCCTACTTCCCATATTTTAAACTGAATGTTTTTTGAATATATGTAGAGATGTATGTTTTTACTTACAAATTAGTTTCCCCTTTAATGATTCTAGGAAGAACAAATATTTAAAAGAGGTTCATTACTGGAAAAGGAATTCGAGAGAGGCAACCTTATTACTAAATACGAACAGTATTAAAAACGGACCTAAAATTCCCCCCCCTTCCCCCCCTGGTCCTTTTATTGTGTGAAGAGAAAACCGAATTTATATTGCTAACCGGGTTTATTACCTTGTGGAAAAGAAGGGGGGGTGGGTGAAGTAGAAGTACCTGCATGTCGTCTGGTAGTATCTGTCTGGCAAGATCTCTAGAGAGTGGTTTAGCTGACGGGATTAAATTCTCAGGAGCATGATTTGTCTTCATAACCTGAGCAACAATATTCAAATATATTTTAACACAACATTAAATCAGAGGCGTATTCAAGAATCTCGGGGGAGGGGGGTGAAATTAGTGTAAAAATCCCTTGCAAATAAAACTACATTTACAATTTTTTATGCTCAAATGACTCAGAGTTTGCTTCAGTTAATGGGTAGAAATGAAACCGAAAGAAAACCTGAAACCTGAAACATCTAAATCACTGTGAATACTTAAAGGGACTGTTAAGAAAAAATGAAAGGGGGTATAGGCTGAAAGCTAATCACTTTAGCTCTTGATCGTGACCCATGAAAGTTTTATCTGTTGTTCCTGTCTCAAGAAATTGATATAAAACTGTGTTAAAATTATACGAAAGTTCATATATGTAAAATTTAGAAAATCTGCAACTTAAATCACGTGACCAGAACTATCACGAATGGCAGAGCAGTATAGTGGTCACGTGTCTCCGCCTGTATCACGTGACCACTTTACTGCACTGCAATTGGTGAAATTTCCGGTCAAGCAATACGGACGTATAAATAATATTATGAATTAAATCTATAAAAAATAGAAATAACAAATATAAAATAAGAATTGGAGTAAACCTAAGTTACAATTAGCTTTCTCTGGGATATCATCGTTTTCAGATTGGTTGCATATTTGATGAATTTGATCTTTTAAAACCCACTACTTTTATACAAAATTGTATATATATTAATTTTCGTATAAATTTGACAAAGTTGTAAATCAATTTCTCGAGATAGGAACATCAGATAGAACTTTCATGGGTCGCGATCGAGAGCTAAAATGATTAGCTTTCAGCCTATACCCTCTATCATTTTTCCTTTACAGTCACTTTAAATAATTAGACATCAGTTGATACAAGATATGTATTGCATACTATAGAGAGAGAGAGGTTGTGTACACACTGTACATTTTACTATGACGTATTTGGGCTGCACAAACAAACAAGCAATCAACCATCATTCTGTGAAAATCAGGGCTGAGCCTCCGTCAAAAAAAAATTCCGATGTTTTTTATTTTTTGTTTTAATAAAACTAGTTTCTACTTCTAGCTGTCCAATAAAGTGTGTACACAACCCTATCCTCCTTAACATTTAGGATACATATTTCGAGTTAATAGAACAGTGTTTGAATAACCATATTTATTTCTCTCACCTGACCGTTTACAAGAGTAAAGAGAACCTTCTCCTTATCGTTTCTATCATCCTCCTTCTTTACCGAGATCGTTACAGTCGGCTCATTACAATCCGGCCTCATTACGCGCTTGATCGTTACCATCGGCTGGTCAGATTTTGTCTCCTCCGGCACCTTCCGAACCGTTACAGACGGAGGTGGAGGGGCGTAGTTATTGTAACCCTGGAATCCACCGTTGGGGACTCTGGCAGGAAAGGCGGAGAATTGATTTGGCGGAGGGAAGGTTTGCTGCTGATAAGGGGAGAAGGATTGGGAAGAGTAAGGAGGAGGGGCGGAGTATGCAGGATACATACTGCTACTGCCACCTAGATTTAAGGGACTGTAAGCGTTATTTCAAGTGACCCTTCATTTAAAGATTTATCACGGAAACCTAGATGGCCTAGAAACCTTAATCTGATCAAAAACGTAATTTTTCTAACCCGAAAAGAGCCCAGTTTTGTGAATTTCTCTACTCTTTCTTATTAAAGATGCGCAAGTCACTTTTGCAGAGAAACCTCCATTAATTAATAAATAGTTAAAAAAAATCCTCTTCTTTCTTGATCAAACAAAGCTTTTAAGGGTACAGTTGTAAATCGGACATTGCCGTCTTTCATTGAGGATCACTTGAAATTACGCAGCCTTTAAAACAGACATCAAGCAGGCCATAGAAAAGTATTTGACATAATTGGCTTGAAAAAAAATCCACAAAATATAAAAATTAGATTGTTGAGGAGAGAGGACACTGGAATATTGAACTTAGTTATTTATCATACCTTGAATAGAAGATTGACTAGGTATATACTGCTGCTGAACTTGAGCAGCTTGAGCAACTGCTGCCTTAGCAGCTTTTTTCTGCTGCTTCTTAGAAATGGTTGGTTTCACTGGTTCAGGGGTAGGCAGCTTCCCGTTCAGATTGATTGGAAGCTTTCCTTGAAGCTGTAGATCTAGCATCCGTTCCTGCTCAAGCAGCTGCTGCTTTTGCTTCTCCAGAAGCTCTTTTTGCTCCTAGAAAACAAGAGAATTAGTTATGACGAGATTCTAGTTTAATTATAGTTGAAAATACGAGTTCACTGCTTTTATTTTTCTTAAAATTACATCAGAGTTGAAACATAACCTTTTTATGTAATGCATTAACACAATAAACATTTTCTAGAATCTTAACAAGTTTCTTATTAAAGTCTGAATCGGTAGGATGTAAAACTTGGATTACTTTAATCCAATTATCACCCATATTTTGTATGTTTCCCTGCAAGCTTCAACTAGGACTAATAAAGCTATTCGCCGTGTCTTAATTTTGAAATATGTTTTCCCCGGGGGCTACAGCGACTACAGCTCATAACTTTTAATCTGACTCAATTAATCTGTCGGTACTTAGAGAACAAAATGAAAGAAAAAATCATATCATTGACTTTTTGAGATAAAATTTAAGAATAGTTTTGTTCCAGACTATTTTAAAAGCAGTGCTTAGGATCCATTCAATTTTGATGCGGATCCGGATCCTGGATCCGCACTGGGAAAAAATGGATCCGGATCCAAATCCGGATCCAGGTCATTTATTAAAGATTTACTGAATTTTTTTCAACAAAAAATAATTTTCAAATTTTGTTTAATTTTTTTCGCTTATTTTTATCCTAAAACTTGATGAACAATTCAGAAATGAGGAAATTTTTGTAATCTCTCTGTTTTCAAAAGTTCAGATTTGGGGTTTAGGAGAAAAAAAGATTTTTTTTGCAGTTTTTGATTATTATTATTATTATTATTAAAGGAAAACCCATCATTCAATGAAGAAGGGGTCGGCGCTCCTAGCCGCCGATTTACCCCTTGGATCCGGATCCGTGGATCCGCATATTTTTGCGGATCCGGATCCAGGAAACAAAATCTTGCGGATCCAATGGATTCGGATCTTAAGCACTGATTAAAAGTCGAACTAAAATGTTGATAAAAACCTGTATATGTTTAATTCTGAGAGATTCTAGGTTGAGAACTTCTTTAGAACTTGATACTTCATCCTCTTCATCTTCTAATCCGGACCCCTAAATATACATTTAGGATGGTGTTTGGTTAGTCTATAACAGGTAGGTAGGTGACTCGTTAGTTTATTGAAGGTTGGTTGCTAATTAATTCATTTAACTACAATGGGACTCATAAAACAGCGGAATATGAAGACGATATCTAGGTAAACCAATGAGTAGTTGATGCTGTTCTAAAGCAAATATGTTTTACCAGTAGCTTGATAATCAATTAATGAAATTGGGGTTTAATTACAATGGGACTCATAAAACAGCGGAATATGGACGATATTTAAGTAAACTTATTCTTTGTTCATTGAAAGTGTTTAAAATCGGAACAGAAGGATAACATTAGTCTTCCTAATCCATAGTTGTCTGGACCCAACTTCAGTTAATTAGATGGGTTTAGTAACTTAAGTTGATTGGTTCAGCTTAGTTACTTGTTTTATTGGTTTCCGAATATTAATAATATGGGTTTTAATTTTGGTTGTATGTTAGTTAGTTGGTTTATGTTCTGTGAGTTGATCGGTTGTATTTTTAAAATTAGTTCAATTCTCTTATTAATTGTTGCTTATTCTTTCATCAAAATTAAGTTCATACATGGAATGCCCCCTCCCCCTCTAAACTTTAGGTTTCCTTACCTGAGCCGCAAGTTTCTTAAGTTTCTGCGCAGCCTTCTTCTTTTGTTTCTTAGCAGCCTTGTCCGCGAACTCCCTGGACAACCTTTCTTCTTCTTCTCTCTTCCTCTTGATCGCCTCCTCCGCCTCCCTCTTCTTCCTCTCCTCCTCCTTGATCTTGTTTATCTCCTCCATCCGTTGCTGCTTCTGACGCTCCTTCTTCTGCCTCTTCTTGTCGTTGGTAATGTTCTTGTTGCCCTCGATATACTGGATAATCTCGTCAACATCCTTCTTGGCGATTATCTCCGAGGCGGTGTGAAGAGGGGCGGGAGCAGATACAGGGGCGGGGGTAACCTAACAAACAAAATAAATTTAAAGGGACTGTAGAAAATTTTTTAAGTGAGACACAATTTACAAATGATATGTTGGATTAAAAACAAAACCCGACCTTTATCTAAGAAATAATAAGGATGATTTTTTTCGTTTTATGGAGTAACCACAATAGAAAATAATCAATATTAAAGCTAGTCAGTAGACAAGTACTAATATCTTATTAATTTTGATCTGACATAGATTAACAGGGTAAAGTCGTGAATCAGACATGCCACTTTAGACGGAATTCCATAAAATAAAATTGAGTTGTGTTTGTGAAAAATGTGTATATTTGTCCCAACTTCTAAAAGAAGCATGAATAATTTTTATGATGTATCCTTATAGGCAGACATTCTTTTATACCTTGTCCAATGTTGTCATACATTGCCTTATCTGTCCTTTCTTTGTCTGTCTCATAACTGCATTTATAACTGGCCTTTAAGAGCCTGTAAATTTTACTTCCACTGACCACCAATTTATATAGTAGCAAGACCGATTCACTTAAGTACCGTACACTTTCAGCCTTTGTCTAATGTCTGGGCAAAAACAATTGGTTTAATTTGTTTTTTTTATGATCTGAAATTATAAACCAGAAAAGTAAATTGCGGATTTATGTTGCAGAGGCAATTAATGTCATTTTAATGACAAACGACAATATCTTCCTTTCGGTTGATCCGATATAAGAGAAGAGCATCGAACATGCAACACTAAAAATAGAGGGTCACTTGAAATTAGGACACCGCTCCCTTTTAATTAACAGAAGGATTTATCTATCATCAATGCTGTAAATTTTAATCTTCACCTGTCTTACGGGGTGTGTTCTGGCAGGCAGAGGAGCTGCAGGAGTTGGTTTAGAAGAAACAGGAACCCCATTCTGCTGCTTCACTGGCTGCACCCGTTGCTGCGGGGGCTGCTGCTGCTGCTTGACAAGACTGGGACGGGCAGCTCCGGCATCAGGATTTTGAGCTTTTTGCTGCTGCTGTTGCTGGTTGGATTTATGAGTGCGTTTTTTCTTGTTGAGAAGTAGACGCAGACGTTCTCGCATCTCCGGGTAGTTCCTGGATACAGGGGCAGCTGACGGACCACCATGCCCAAACACCTAACATAAAAATAAAATGAAAATATTTAAAATTCAAATGATAATTTTCCCAAAAAAGTCAATCCACTCAACTTAAATTTTTTTAACCAAGCTAATTTTTGTGGTTCTATTGAGCTCCGAAATTTTTTTTAGGCAAACCGTGTCCGAATTTAATGAATTTGAGCCGCGTCTTAAATCCGCCAAAAACCGGTTTCAATGGAGCGCCGGCTTAAATCTTGAAACATTGAAAAGTGAAACCAACCATATTTGAGCTGCGGCTTAAATTCAGGCCGCCGCTCAAATTCTTTAAATTCGGCTTCAGCTTGGGAATCCCGCTTTGCCTGAAAACTAAATTACTGTATTAAATTAATACCACTCAACCAAGCTAAAAACATTCTCGTGGTTTTACCGAGTTCAAAATTGAGGCAAGTGGTCAGGAGGATCATGAGAAATAATCCGACCAACAAACAAACAAAACACACAAACAAACAGAGATTACTTTTTTATAAACAGAATAGCTGAAGTGCCCGGCGTTGCCCGTGGAATCTTAGAAACACTTCAAACAACTTTCCGATTTTTGAAAAAAATTCTATTTTAACAAAAATTTAATTTCGATTTTTTTAGCACATGCACCCATGGGTTTCCTCAAAAAATTTAGCAAATTTAGTCCAGCAGTTTGGCCAGCTATAGCTAAAATATATACATACAAAAAGTAAATATATATAATATATATTAGCGCAGAGATTTAGATAATTACCTCACAGTAGCAGCAGGCACAATGTTTATCCATTCCACTTGCAGAACTACTGCAGGAATCTTCAGGAGAAGAATCTTCAGTAGCATCATCAGTAGACTCACCATCATCATCATCATCATCCTCATCCTAGATAATATTTTAATCTATGTCATCTTTAATCCTAGATGTGATGATATCATCCTCATCCTAGATAATATCATCATCATTATCTTCAATCTAGATACTATCATCATCATTATCCTAGATAATATCATTATCATCAACTTCATCCTAGATAATATCATTATCATCCTCAACCTAGATAATATCATCATCCTTATCTTCAATCTAGATACTATCATCATCATTATCCTAGATAATATCATTATCATCAACTTCATCCTAGATAATATCATTATCAACCTCATCCAAGATATTTTGATATCAGCATAATAGATAGATAGTATAAATGAAATAACGGCATATACACCCGCCAAGAAATCATCGGAAATCACTCGATCCTAGATTACAAAATTATCATATCCATTATTGAGAGTATTAATCATAAACAACTTTTTAAAAAAACCATTCTCATTTCAACAAATAGATAATTATTATTAATTTAAACCTTAGGGATGGCTGACGCTGATTTAGATTTCCTAGTTTGGTTTTGTATTTGTGCATTCTTCTTTCCACAATCATGTCCCATCATCTTCTTCAACTCCTTCGCGTTGGCATTGTTGTGCTTGTGGTTGCAGGTCTTAGGAGGGGCCGGCTTGCTCACCTACAACAAGATCATAAAATAAACAAGTTGGCATTTAGAAAATCTTCAAGTGACTTACTTTCAAACGAACCTTCATGCAAAGATGGCAATGTCCGATTTTCAACGGTACCTTTATACCCTTAATTGATCAATAATGTGAAAGATATCGTTATTTTTCTGGGTTTAAAATGTTCAAGTGTGATAACTTCTATATGTTTTCCTGCGATAGAAATGCGCAATTCATTTTTGTATGTAAACCACAATTGAAATAATCTGTTTTCAAAATTATAAACAAGTTTATCTAATTCATACTTGTTCAGACAAAGCTTCCTAGGGTAACGCCATCTTTGCATGGACACCCTGCACCCTACACCCAACACCCAACACCCTACACCCTGCACCCTGCACCTCACACCCACACCCTGCACCCTACACCCTACACCCCCACACCCTGCACCCTGCACTCTCTACTCTCTACTCTCTACTCTCCACACCCCGATGTTTGTTATGGAGTACCTTAGCTGTCGTTTGAACTGGTTCAGACGGTTGGTTGGGAGTAGGAACAGGAGGCTGTTGTTGCCCAGGAGCAGGGGCAGGATTAAGAGGCTGTCCAGCCTCGAGGCCGAGGGTTTTTGGTCTCTGTAGAGGTTTACTTTCAGGCTTTTGTACTTCACCAGCCATTGTTAATACGGAACACTAACAATACATTCATATTTAATGTTGGGTCTCGTATTGAGTTTAAATTTTCTTTACAATTAAAGGAGAGGGTTTATAGAAAATATTTATCCCTCAAAAATTAAACATGAAAATGTAGAACCGAAGATTTAGGTTTAAAAGAATAATTTTTAATATCAAGTTTAAATAATTTGTATTCCTTTGAGCTCTTGTTTGTAGGTTGAGGTTGAGGTTGTGAGGTTGAACTGGGTGAAGAGAAGGTAGGTAGAGAGGTTGGTCTAGGCTGTCTAGCACTACAAACCACCACAGAACTTGAACTTTCAGCAGTCTGATAAAAAGTAGATATTTTAAGTAAAACATTTTCTAATATTACCTTTTTCTTGAATATCAGGCCAAGCCCGAAAATAAAAAAAATATTCATTTATATTTATGTGAATGATTTGTGTTTTGTTTTGAGAGCAAAAATTATTTTTTTTAACAGTTTTTTTTGGTAATTTTCCCTGAGGGATCCCCTTGTTTTTGAGGATGCGGCTCCGAATCCTAGCCAGTAACCAAAGCTCAAATAAATTAAGTATTTTCAATCCATAAAAATAGATAGATTACATATTCAAACAACGTCCGCCTACTAAAACATAATTCCCAGAGAAAAGGAATTGAGACGTTGCAACAAACTCCGATTTTTTATCCCTAGACATTTTTAGAAGCCTATATTGTAGACCTTAGATATAAATTCTGTTGGATCAAATATCAAAGGTTTACGCCATCAAAAAATGAAAAAATTTGAGTCAAAATTCAATTTGTTTTAAACACAGTATTATGAAACCTTTCTACTCACCGAGTTAATTGAACTTGATTGTGTAGAGGAAGGTTGAGAAGAGGATATGGATGATACTGAAGTTGAGGTGGAGGTAGAGGACTGACAAACTGCTGTAGTCAAGGATAGACTTGACATAGAAAGGGTCGGGTCGGAGCAGGGAGGCAGGGAGGTTGGGGAGGGAAGTGCTGGCAAAGAGGAGGTGGGATGAGAATATGAGAATGTGGAGGAGGGTAGGTTGTAAAGATGAGGATAAAGAGAGGAGGAGGAGGAGGGTAAGGAGCAAGAGGATACTGGAGGGAAGGCAGGAAGGTACATTTCCTAAAAACAAATAAGTTTAGAAAAGAAGAATTCCCTATCATCCTGATGGTAAAAGGGTATTTTAAAGAAAGATGAGTTAAATGGAACTCCGTTATCCGTCAATCTGTACCCAATAAAAGTCATAACGGCTGAACCGATCGGACCCAAATTTTGGCCGGAAAAATGTAGATTTTATATTTCTAAATATATCAATTTTATGAGAAAACCCGCAACATTTTGAGCTTAACAATTACGAATATAAAATGGACACTTGAAGAGCAACATTTAAACTCTAAAATGGTTCTTCAAAAAAGACGCGAAGCGGCCTGAAAACCTAGCTAACCAATCTTAAAACGAATTCCTTACTAAAGAAAATTAAGAGTAAATACGCTATCACAGCTTAGACAAAGGTATTTAAGGTACCGTTATACAGCGGACGTGTTAAACACCACTACTTGAACACGTTCAGGATTTCAGAATTTATTTCTTGTTTAGCAAATGAAAAAAAAACCGTAATGGCATCAGTCTTACCGAGTTGAGGGGAGCAGTACAGACATGACATTCACAAGATTTCTCTCCGTCCGATTTATCTGCCTCACAATGCCCATCACTATCCCTTAACAACAAACAAAATTACAAACATTGTCACAAAATTTTATTCTTTGCTTTTTTATTTCAATCTCAGGATAGAGAATCCTAGGAACCTAAATTGTGCACCAGCTCAAAACAACAATTTATAGTTGAGAATCAATTTAAAGAGAGAAAATTCGGTTGCGTCCATTCGCAGGTCTTCTGGACCCCCCCCCCTTTTCTTTTCAAGTTAGGTTAGGTTAAGAATAATAGATAATCACGGAATGATGATTATTTAAAGAAAGGGAGGGAGGATCATTAAATGAAAATTAATTGAAAACCCAATGTAATAAGATTAATTAAGTTCCAAACACATTCGGTGGTTTTTTCAACACACAGAGCTAACTAAATAACGCAGTTATCTACAGAAAACACGAAGAGTAAGAGTTGGGTTAATAAAGAGATTGTATTAGTTAAATCACACAATGTGTAGGGTCAGTCTACATCTGGTAACACTGGTTATGATAAATCAATCAATGAATCATACAAGGACTCACCACCCCTCCCCCTCCCCCATCATCTGATGAATGATGGTGCTGAAGGCCAACTCCTCGGCCGGACTGAGTCCGAAGGGAGTTCCAACCTGGGAGTGGAACTCAGAGACTAGATCACTAACGGTATCCAGCTCCTAGTCGTACAAGACATCCTAGTTACAACCACCCCCCCCCCCGGTGTCAGTCTATTGACGGTTTTTTTAAAGGAATAGAATGGAATGGAAAGCAGATTGACAGAAGTTTTAGGGGAATCCAATTAAAGCAAATATAAAGATATTTATAACAACCACTACTTTAGTTTTTAAAGTTTTCCCCCATCAAAGCTCTATGAGATAAAAAAAACGGATCTAACCCTGTAAATGTTGACTAATTCTTAATGATTCTTCAATTTTGTTCATTTGCAAAATCTCCAAGAAGTTTACAATAAAACCATAAAGCCCCCTACCCCCCATCTTGTAGGATTTCTGTTTGTGTGTGTTTGGACGCCTGTAAGCTTGGTGACATGGACATAGCTCTCCTCATCTCTAGTTCTAGCTCTGGAGGTAGAGCCTCTACACCCAGCTGCTCTAAGCCGGTCAGAAGAGAGTGGAGGCTCTCACCTAGATCAGCAAACCCCTCCCTACACCAGACAAGCAGATATTTTACAAATCTTTACAATAGTCGATATATCATAAAACACAATTAATAACTATTGTTTTTATTTAGATTTTTCTCATTTTAAAATGATAAAATACCACTACGAAAAGTAAATAGTTACTGAGATATCCTTAACAAATTGAAAAATATATTTGTTATATTTTTAAATCGAATTGCACGGTTATTAGTCCTAAATTTGTAAATTAGAATATATATAGTATGTGTATTTTCAGTCTGACTAGACGATCAGATATCTATCTCATCTTCATAACATTAAGAATAAATATCAACTGAGGTTACCAAGTACAGTAAATATACCAATTAAAATAGAAATTATTTTTTTTGCCAAATATGATATTCTCAAATCAAGTCCTTCAAATTGCAATAAAGCTGAAATAACTGAAAGGAATCCTATATTCTTAAATATTTAAACCCTAAATTTAAAAGAACCCCTACTTAAAACCTTTAAAATCTGGAAAGAACTCTGCCTAAGTTAAACCTAAATTTTATAGAACCCCTACTTCAAACCTTTAAAATCTGGAAAGAACTCTGCCTAAGTTAAACCTAAATTTTATAGAACCCCTACTTCAAACCCTTAAAATCTGGAAAGAACTCTGCATAAGTTAAACCTAAATTTTATAGAGCCACCACTTCAAACCTTTAAAATCTGGAAAGAACTCTGTGCCTAAGTTAAACCTAAATTTTATAGAACCCCTACTTCAAACCTTTAAAACCTGGAAGGGACCCTGCCTGAGTTAAACCTAAAAGGAACTCTGCCCTAAACCTGATAGATACCCTACTTTAGACCTTTTAAACCTATCAGAAACTTTACACTAAACCTAAAAGGGACTATACCCAAAACCTGAAAGAAACCCCACTTACAACATTTTAAACCTATCAGGCACTCTACCCAAAACCTCAAAGGAACCCTACTTTAAACATTTAAAAGCCGAACAAAGCTCTGCCTTAAACCTGAAGGAACCTGCAACAGTGAGACCCATAACACTGTGGAATAGGAAGACGACTGATGGATCCAAATTTTGTTTCTGAATAGTTTCTTGAACACAATGATAACGCACGGCAATTAGGCAGTGTATCAAGGCTCTTTTTACTTAATTATGAATTTCAAGCGACTGGTACAACTATTTGCCTTATAACATCAAATTAAAGCAAGATTGTGTAAATGTCGTCTTTCTATTCCATATATTTATAGGTTGCAATGTAATACTGATTTGTTAAAATTCAGTGATGGTGATGGACCAAACCTCTGTAGAGTAGATATATTTATTGAAAATATATTTCGGTCTGGGTTGACCCTCGTCAGTTCTAACGATATAATAACCATAAATAACCATTTGTTAACTCACCCTCCTCCCGGCATACTAGGACTGCTGCTCTCTACTTTTTGCCGCTGCTGCTTAAACTTTTCCCAGTCAGATTTTAGCATCTTCTGCTTCTCACGCAGCTTCTGCTGTTCAGAAGAAAATACAAGCAGCAGTGCCTGAACAATAATCAAGTAATCACTGATACAACTTTGTAACCTCGTAGCTCACCTAGCATTAATTTTATGCACAAGCATGATGAGGAAAACAAATTTTTTTTTATGTATTAGAAATGCTAAACATTTTTGATCTTCAATTTTAGGAGCTATGATTGAAAACTTAAAAGTATTCAACTTGGCGTTCAATTAACTTTAGTTTGAAGAGTATTTTCAGTAAGACCAATCAAGTAAAGAAAGTGCTTTACCCACTAATTCAAGCCTTTAACTACTTAAAAAGAGTAAAAAGTTAACTGAACACTTGCAACAAATTCTGATTTACTAATTTTTATTTTATTGCAACCTGATGTCGATGAAAATTTGATATTTCTAACTATACGAGAAGAGAATATACGAGAAGTAGTTCTGCAAGAAGCCCCATTTTGAGAAACCCAGACCGCCTACAGTAGTATCCGACCCTAGAGTTAAGATCAATCCTGAACCAGCACGGCCTCATTTCCTTAGGAGAGGTAAACACCTGGAGGAATGGCGCGATAGTCACGATGCATACCTTGCAACAGCCCATCAGTAAATACACCTAAAGCTTATCATTTATTATTCCCACTCCTTGAGGATGGAGATTATCCAGCTCCATTCATAGTGTTACATTCTGTAAGATGCTACGTTTAAAGTCCAGCTCCATTCATAGTGTTACATTCTGTAAGATGCTACGTTTAAAGTAACACAGGTTTAACTCATCAGGTTGCAAAGTTGAATGGATTGCGAAATCAGAGTTTGTGTCATGTGTTCAGTTCCTTATATCGCTATAGTCATTATTGTTGTATTAAAAAGTCTGTAAGCGTAATTTTCAATAACCCCTCCTCCAACGATGACGATACCCGATTCACAATGGTACCCTTAAAAACTTAGTCTATTCAAGTTTGAATAAGATATCAATGTCTACAATTTAGAAAACTGATTATTTTCAAATGTGGATTCTCGACAGAAGTGACTTCGGGGAAACATGTAGGAATTAACAATCGACAATTTCTTCCACAATATTGATCAGATAGAAGTTTCAAGTGTACCGTTGTGAATCAGAAACTGCCATCTTTGCACGGAGGTTCACTTGTAACAACGCTTACAATCCCTTTAAACCCTACCTCTGTTCCTGACCAGAATACCCCGACATTCTCCATCTCTACATCAAAGTCTAGATATCCACGAACAAGCTCAGTATATTTCTCCTCAATCTAATTTAAAATAAATATTTTCACAGATTTATCGGGATTACATACATAGAATAAGACTTGACAGACGACTGTACGGAATATTCAGTCTGATAAGAAGGATTACTAAGAACTAATGAAACATTAGTATAACTATATTTATAGAGCTTTAGGTCATCATTAATGTCTCACCCTCTGTGGTTACCTTCATGTGTAAAATTTTAATTACTAAAACTTCTTTACTTATCTATTCAAGTTTATTATAAAAGAAAAGATATGCCAGATATCAGTTGCTCAGATTTAGAAACTCTCCATAAAGGACTCTTTAGTCTATATGCTCTAATCCTTAAGGGTTTAATTACTAAAACTTCTTTACTTATCTATTCAAGTTTATTATAAAAGAAAAGATCTGCCAGATATCAGTTGCTCAGATTTAGAAACTCTCCATAAAGGACTCTTTAGCCTATATGCTCTAATTCTTTACTTATCTATTCAAGTTTATTATAAAAGAAAAGATATGCCAGATATCAGTTGCTCAGATTTAGAAACTCGCCATAAAGGACTCTTTAGTCTATATGCTCTAATTCTTAAGGGTTTAATTTCTCTAATAATATTGTATTTCAAATAAAAAATAAGGACAAAAGAATCTTTGCAACCCTGCTTTCAAGAATTTAAGTTCTCATAAAATTAAAAGTCTACTTTAGATAATTTCTCGTAAGTTTATTTTTGCCAACTTAAAAAAATAGTTTAACGGATTCTTTCAATTTATAAGTGATCAGCTCTGGCGTTTACTTCTAAAATATATTTAATCTATCTTGTTACCTCTGTATTATTTGGATAAAGAGCTCTAAGTTGAGAAATAAAGATCGGTAGATTGTTCTGTATTACAGGGTCAGTGTACACAATCAACTACAAACATATTCAGGGTTTGTGGCAATAATTGTAGCTTCGTTATTATTAATATCATCATTATCACAATTATCATTATTATCATTATTGTTATTATTACTAGTTAGTATCATTAGTATCATTAGTATCATTAGTATCATTATTATCATTATTATCATTATTATCATTATTATCATTATTATCATTATTATCATTATTATCATTATTATCATTATTATCATTATTATCATTATTATTATTATTATCATTATTATCATTATTATCACTATTATCACTATTATCATTATTATCACTATTATCACTATTATCATTATTATCATTATTCTCATTATTTAATTATTACTGATATGAAGAATGTACCTGATAAAGGTGTTTACTAAGGAGTTCCCAGGTAAGTGAGAATCTACGAAGATGATGAACTTCAAGGTCACCAAGCACCTAGAAAGTATCAACAATAAAATTTTAGTTTATCCCTATAAGTAAAAGTTTGGAAATTCAAATGCCCCCCCCCCCCTCCTCCCCCTTCTTGTAAAATAAATGATTTGAAAGGATTGGTGTAATTTCAAATAACCCTCCATTTATAGAGTGGCATATCTGATTTACTTTAATCCGTGGTCTGATCAAAATAAATTTGTTTTTTAATCTAATTATTTTCGTTTGAATTTCTCTACGTTAGTGACTTGCGCACTTCCACTTAAAAATGATGAGGAAGTTTTCTTATTTTAAACAAATTAAAAACCTTGATAATGATATTCACAAAAACTATAATCAGGACGTACAAAAAACTTCTCATTCAAAATCTAAGAACATGAAGAACATGCTGGAAAATTGAAGCGCAGGTAAGAACATTGGAAAACAAAAGTGTAGTGCAGAAAGTAAAGTACACAAACTGTGATAGGGTGTGTCCAGACGTGTGAGCACCCTTTTGATTTGACAATCATCTATTTATAGTATTGGTAAAAACTTAAACTTAAAAAAACATATGTTAAAAACTTAAAAATGTGACCTAAAATTTCCCTTCCATTTCTTACCAAATATAAGCCAATAAAAAAAAAAAAAATTTTGATTTTCTTTACTTCTTCATTCTGTTTAAATTTAATTATTATATATATATTTTTTTCCTCTACAATTATTTTTTAGCTAAGTGATGCCAAGCGTTTGCCACAAACTCAATTCCTTCGGCCTATATATCTGCAACCTGATGTCGTAAACGTTTGAAATTTCCGGTCGCACAGATGTAGGGATTAGGAAATATTTTTTTTGCAAAAATCAAATTTCTTCACATGCAAAGATAGAGGAAAAATAGTTTTATTAGTGCATTTTTTCTTTTTCTTTCAAAAATGATTCAACTTTTTGAACTCATATTGACATCAATGGCGTTACGCAAAGTTACTTTAAATATAGATCCCATTGCGACTTGTTGTGTAATGTACTTTGAGAATATTATAAATTATATCAACTCACCGGGGCAGGAATTCTTATTGTGTAATGTACTTGAGAATATTATAAATTAAATCAACTCACCGGGGCAAGAATTCTTATTGTGTAATGTACTTGAGAATATTAGAATTAAATCAACTCACCGGGGCAAGAATTCTTGCAGCTTCACAGATTTTTGAGTGTCCTCCGAGTAGTCCCGAGATAAAATCTTGAGCTAAACTTGGACTCTTCGCGTCCCTCTGCAACAATTCACGGAGCTTACGCCGCACCTCGGTCACATATTCACGCACTATAACATTGGTCGTTTTTAATCCCATGACTTAAATCAAATGAAATCCAATGAAATCCAATGAAATCCAATGAAATTTAATGAAATCCAATGAAATCCAATGAAATCCAATAAAATCCAATCCAATCCAATCCAATCCAATCCAAATAGATTCTAGTACAATAGATGGCAACGTAAAATGTGTACACTCTCAGTACAGCTGTATTCTGACGTCACAATTGTCAATTCAGTTTTTGTGTCCGACAAAACTATTAATAATAGTGATAGTTTTAGAATAAAGTGATTATCTTACAATAAAATAAGGGCACTTAAATGTATTCTTTATTTTCTGCTTTTACACTTTTTTATTTAATCTTGGAAAACATGTTAACCAATGTGAGAAAATTTCATTTTTCTTGTTATATTTGACACTTATGACGTCGTGTATAATTGGTTCATTTCTCTGTTGCCACCTATTGTACTTGATAATCTATTTGAATCCAATCAAATCAAATCAAATCAAATCCATAGCAAACAGTTCGGCACATCAATTTTTTCCTGAAACTTAAAATATATTTAATATGTGCAATCTCAATTTTTATCAAGTATCGTTGATCAAATTATTGTTATATTGCTTCATGTTTTCTAGAAAAAAAACATACATTTTCTGAAATTAAGTTCAGAAAATAATTCTATCTTTAACATTTAAAAGCTTAGATGTCATGTTTCGAAATTCGAATTGTGATATTGTTTCGATTTTTTCTAGTTAAATCAAGTTTAGAAAGTAAAGTATAAAGTAAAAAATGTGCTTGTCAGCCGGATCGCTTCACTTACGAAACCCGCCGGTCGCAGGGTGCAATATAAATTACCCTTAAAAATTTGTTTAGCAAATCAAAAAATATTATTTTTGCTTCAAAAATTTATTCATCCCCTGGTGGGGGGGGGGGGGGCTAATTTTGATGCTCATGGAGGAAATGGGACAAACTGGCCATTGTAAGGCAAGTTTTTCATGCTTTTTGATACTTGTGAACAAACATTATTTATTTTCTTTTATTTGTTTCAGTCTAGGGGGAAATGATTTAGAAGAAATTTACATCATTGTAATTTGTATGCATCTTATTCAGAATATTATATAATTAGGACCTATACTCTCTAGACGTTGGAACAGCTGATGAGGATCCCTCCAAACTAGCTTATGAACCCGATCCTTCATAATGTTGAGGTCGGGCTTGGGACGGTTAGTGTCGTTCCAGGCCTCTTCCATCACCAGGCTGTACACCAGCTGGAAATCCTGATCAAGAGAATTCTTGAATATCCGGGAAATTGATTTTTAGAAGAAAGGAACCTGATACTAATACAATTGTGGAAATAATATCGATAAATACGCTTTTTTGAATCCGCTTTTTTGTATTGGAAAATATTGCAGATAGAGCAACAATTAAAAGTTTAAATCGAATATGGAAATCCTGGTCTTTTAAAAAAGACTTCATGAAGTGAATTCAAGAGACCCTTCATTAATGGATGAATGAGATTCCATCATGTTTCACCTTTAAAATTAATGAATCTCTTACAATACCTGTTTTAACTGAATCCAGCATTGTTGTAATTTCTTAGTTTCCTCCGCCATCTCAGCAACCAGAGCACTCCGCTCCTGGCAGGATTCACATTCACAACCACCTTCATCACCATCATTCTACAAAACAGAAGATATTACCAGGGGTGTCATTTTTCGGAATTTTTGCAGATTAAAAGGGGGGGAGGGAATAAAAAATTGGTTACTAAAATGCAACTTTTATTAATTCTTTTTATTATTTTTACCCAAAAATTCATTTATTTGACCATAAAATCATTTACTTCACCAGGTATCAGGTATCAGGAGAAAGATCTGAAAGCCCCCCCAGTTTGGAGGACCCAGACCACCAATTTAGTAAATTAAACAATTATAAATTGTTTTGCGATCCGCGCAAGCTTAAGAACTTCTGGGGGGAATGGGGGGGGGGAAATGGGGGGAGAAGAAAAATTATTTTTGAAGATTAACAAAACTTTCCATATCAATTTTTAATAAAAATAAAATCTGTATTTTTTAATCGTGTCTTAAAGTTTAATTTTAAGATGTTGCCAAACTATTTTTTCCATCGCTATTTAGATTAAAAAACGAAGAAGTGAAAACATTAAAAAAAACTTAAATCCTTGACTCATAAGGATTCATAAGGAAGTGAAATCTGCAAGTCCCCAATGTGGGCCCCCCAGACCGCCCAGGCAGCAGGAAGCACCGTCCCGCCCCTGTTCTAACTGGACCTTTAAAACCCCAACAATTAGTCCAAAGCTAGAGAGATAAAGTAGATACATTAATGTCATAAATGTCAAGTAAAACGTTGGGGATTGTTTCTAGCATCATAGATGTTTATCTTATCTTAATTCTCATCACTAGTCAGCTATTTGTATTATCAAGAATTACCCAACCCCGCTGCCAAGGGGGGGGGGGGGTGATTTTCGGTGCTCTTGAGAAAAAAATGGTAAATAGGACATCAATTTACCCTTTTTTGCCATTTTATTTTCCACAAAACCATCCAAAAAATATTTTCTTACAGGAGGAATAATTTTTCAATAAAATGTACACCCCTGTTATATCTATAATATACCTGATAAACGGTCTGTAAAGTATCTCCTGGTTCAACAAAAATTGCGTCGGTAAACTCAAAATCAGTTAATTCAGTCAAAGCATCCTACAATAAACAATATAGGCCATTAAGCCATTAATTTCAAGTGACCCACTCTAAGAGTGGCATGTCAAATTCACAAGGTGGGACTCTTTGGGCGACGATAAAGGATGAATGGGATATACTACTTTCCCAACCTGAAAATTGATTATCTCTATATATTCTATACGCAGCATGACATGTAGTTGTTCAAAATTTGATTGCAAGCTGTGTTATAGTTTTAAAGTTTCAAGAAATCGCTTTTGTTCGACTTGAAATATTTAAAAATTCGTTTTTCTTTTTCCTCGACTGAAGAGTATGGGGAGCAAGTTACGTCATCTGCGTTAAATGTTCATTGTACACTCAAGTTTCCTGGCACTTAATTTTCAGCTAGGAAAATAAGAATACATCCATCATCGATGACCAGAAAAGGCTTTAAAAAGAGTACAGTTGTGAATCGGACATGCTGCTGAAATGGAGTGTCTACAGTCACTTTAAAGACAAAAACTTCGTATGATAACAATTTTTTTACTTTAAAATTTTAGAAAATGTCAAGTTTTTTTATAAATTTGTTCACCTGAAGAGAAAGTCCTTCCAAATCATATTTTTCAAAATCTATTTTCTCCCCTGTTGAATTCTGCTCCAACAACTAGATCATGAATAATGTGTCATAATTTAACCTTTTCTTGACTTGACAGTTTTTGGTAACTCGAATCCTTGGAATGTATCAACTTTAAAGTGACAGTCATTTGTGAACTTGTGTAACTGTGAATAGGAATACGACATCTGCTTGTGTATTTCTTGATGTTAAAAGGCAAATAGTTTAACACGTATCATTATCATCAACTTATAAAAGACAAAGTATCTGAGTACATTGGACCATTGAAGATCATTACTCGAGCTCCCCAGTTTTAAGGATCTCTCTGTTTAAGTTTTTAAATATCCCTGTTGTTAAGAAAAATTGATCCACAGTCGACAGAACAAGGCAGAAATATAATGAATAGTTATATAGAATAGAATATTATAGCGCATGGCATCATAGATAAAGTTTCCCTTTTTTAAGTAAAAATATATTTTTGAAAATATTCCTTTTAGTTTAGCGTATTTTAATCTATAAATTACTCTAATTTGCTGGGGTTCAGGGCAGTGCTTTACTATGTAAATCAGCATTCGAAGGTTCTAGGTTTCCCTTCTGTTAATTAATGATTTTAAGAAACGGAAAAGCAGATTGTATCCAATAAATGTCAAAACGACTAAAATTTTGTGTGGGACCTCGCGTGACCCCAGGGAAAATGTTATGGATGATCTAATATTAAAAATATTTGCCTCTAACAAAATTCGATTTGAATTTTTTGAAAATCCATTAAATTTCTTTTTATAAAATCCGCAAAATTTTTGTTTTGTTTTTGTATTACTACGTACACAAAGAGAACATGTTCACAATTGAAATAGCCTAGTGTGAATATACATATTTTTTTTCTCGTTTATATTGATTTTTGTTTACGGCTATTTGGCATTATTTTGTTAAAATTTTGCTTTATATTTTTTATAGATTTTTTTTTAATGTTCTAGTGTTGAATTATATAGTGACACATCTATCTGCCTGGGACTCGATGAAAATGTCCTCGAACTGATCGAGCTTTGACTTTGGTTGATAGAGTTTAAATCTCTGGTTGGAGGGTAGAACAGAACTAGAGCTCGAACCCAATCTCAGGCGCAGCATATCCTCTGATCAATCAATCAAATTAGAAACAGATCGATCAATTAAATATGTACCGTTTAAAAGGGGGATTCATCAAGAAATCCATTTACAAATTCAGAACAATTTGTATTCTTAAAATACTTTTGATAAGGACAAATTCGTTTTTCTTAGGAACTTTTACGCAAATTTTGATCATTTCTCCCCACGTAAGTGATATATAAACCATCAAAAAAAGAATTTAAATAAGGGATTTTAAGAAAATAAAAATGTGAATGACCAAAATAATTACATAATGAAAGTGGATTCGGATCCATTATCAACTTTCATGTTATCCAATTCCTGATTCGATTCCGATTTAATTATTTACATATTTTAGTTTCTATCAGCATTAAGACGAAAGCAAAGAAAATTAGGAGAACATTTTAATTTAATTATTTCCTAAAAGTTTGTCCTCCCGATCAATGGAGTCACTGGACTCTGACCTAGATTCCCTGTTTGACTCCTGGGACTCGTATCCGAAATTCTGATTTGATTCATCGCTCAACGGAGATTCAAGGTCTCGAGCGCACTCCGTAATCCGCGCTACAGGGCCCCCAACCTCTTCAACCGGATCGCCAGGAACCTAATTTCAAAATAGGAAAAATAAAAATCTGCGATGAAAACAAAACAAAGTTCAAAGCTATCCGATTCAAATATCATTAGGGGACCCTGGAATCTTCCAAATGAATAATATTGAATGCTATAAGTCTTTTATTCTATATTTTTATGCCGTAACAAAATAAAATTTCTTGGTATGGTTTCTACAAGTTTTGCTATACAAGGCGGTTTCAAGGAGGAGGGGGGACAGTTCATTACCCCCCCCCCCCCCGATGAAACTAGGGGGCGGGGGGACATTTTTACCTTGTCATGTCTCTTTTAGAACTATAATTTTTAATTATATATGTATAAAATTAAGAAGGTTTACTTGAAAGTGACAACATTGTAAAAATTATCTTATTTATCCTCCTCCATAAAGTGCATACGTGATGACCCAGTTTTCAGCTACGCTGCACTCAGCATATCAGGAATATGCGCATTAGTCAAAACTTATCAAATTTATGTAAATATTGCTCAATGCTCTCATTGAACAAGTCATCTATTATCACCGACAGGGTGGTCAACAGGTGGGAAGAATGGCGATGCACCCAAACAGGCTTGCCTCAATTTCGTACATCAGTGTTATAAATTCCTTTACTTCAAATTTACTTTACTAAATTAATGTTGATTGGAATAAAAGAGGATATATATTTTTTTGAACAAAAATTCATTTATTTCCTTTCAGACTTCTTTTGGTTATTCTTAACTCTAAAAATAACCTTGGATTCTAGCATTTCAGAATTAAAGTAGGAAATAAAAAATAAATCACCCTTCATTAGAATAAATGATATGATGTGTTTATTTTTTATCAAGACATTTACCTACACTATCCTTAACAGAAAGAAACTGTGGGGTTAGGACGGTAAAAAGAACTTTTCAGCAACAGAGGGGTGGGGGGATATTTTTATGGGGTCCGTCCTAGTATACGATTTTTGGATCCCCCCCCCTCCTATCAATTTTGTACATGACCATTTATTTTTCAGCAAATTTATTATTTTTTATTTTTTTGTTATTTAGGGTTAGGTTAGGTTAAGAGAAGGCCGAGCGCTGCGGCCACACTTTCTGGGCCGAGCGCTGCGGCTAGGATGGGCTAGGGGGCCGAGCGCTGCGGCCACGGGTTAGGTTAAGTTAAGACNGGGGGGGGGAGGATCCAAAAACATTATTCTAGGAAATTACCTTATTTTTGAACGATTACAGAAGGTAACAAAAATTAAGAGCTTCGCGCGAAAATAAATTTACCCCCGAGACCCCACCTATAATCCTGAATCCTCCCTTGTTGCTGGGGATGATAACTACTAGAAAAAATTGATTATTTAAGACTAATTATTCACCTCTGTACTAGTGGGTGGGTCAGCTTGAGGAGGCGTGGCATCTTCTCCTTGACACACATCAGGTTCAGAAACACTCATTATTATCTAAAAACAAAACTTAGATAATACTGAAATTGTCAAACCATGAGATCTTCATTTAATTTTACGTTTGTTCTAAACAACACGACAGATAATAAACTCAATATTAATTATTCCTTATTCATTACATAATTTCCCTTTCTTGGCAGCTTATGCACGTTTCGGATAAACAAGGAGCGAAAATGTAACTAAAAGGAAAGACTAATGGCGGCATTTCTGCGCAGAGAGGGCGCTTTTTAGCATATGATTTAGGGGGGTAAACGTTCTGTAGATTTAAAATAAAAAATTTAGATAAAATTTATATCAGATCCAAAGCTGTAATTCTAAAATAATTATCAAATAAAAAAGATTATTTTTAAAATAGTTTTTTTTATCGTCTTACATCGACGGTCACTTGCCGCGTTAAATTTTGTGAGTAGTTCATCTAATTCTGCAGAAAACAAAATTTGTCATTTTTTTCAATTAACAATTAGTATTTTTAAACCGTATATTTGGTAATTTCCTAGTATACGATTTTTGGACTCCCCCCAGCCCCCCCCAGTCACTGGACTCTGACCTAGATTCCCTGTTTGAATAACCTAACCCTAAATAACAAAAAAATAAATAATAATAAATTTGCTGAAAAATAAATGGTCATGTACAAAATTGATAGGAGGGGGGGGTCCAAAAATCGTATACTAGGACAGACCCCTTAAAATCAACAACTATCATCTTTCAGGTCTCGAACAATTTATCATGCAACGAGTCAGCTGTGGAGTACTTGCCCGTGTTTCTAGGATATCTAGACAACTCAAAGAAAATGTTTGCAATCTATCTAGTTCTTCAGATTGCCTGCAGAATGGTCCTAAGATAGCTGTGGTGGGGGCTGGCCCTGCAGGATTTTACGCTGCTCAATATATTGCTAAGGCAAGATCTGATGCAACAATAGATATTTATGAAAAACTTCCAATTCCATATGGACTAGTGAGGTTTGGTGTTGCCCCTGATCATTCAGATGTAAAGAAATGTATTTCAACTTTTAACAAAACTGCCAACCTACCCAATGTTACGTTTTATGGAAATACTGCACTTGGAAGTGATATAAGTCTAGAGCAGTTGAAGCGTTGTTACAACTCTGTAATACTTAGCTATGGAGCAGAAGAGGATCAACGTCTTGGTATCCCTGGCGAGCAACTTCATAATGTCACAGCTGCAAGATCGGTTGTATCTTTGTATAATGGTTTACCAGGAGCTCAGGATGTTGATATAAACCTGGATACTGAGACCGTTGTTATCGTCGGAATAGGAAACGTTGCGATTGATGTCGCCAGATTAATTCTTACACCCATAGATGTTCTGAGGAAGTATGATACTACCGAGGTTTGGTTGGAAAAGTTGCGCAACAGTCGTGTTCGGCGTGTAGTTTTAGTTGGAAGACGTGGACCTCTTAATGTCAGTTTCACAGTCAAAGAATTCAGAGAGATGTTAAAGCTCGAAAATGTGCGTCCAATTTTTCACAAGGAACAATATTTACCTTTTAAAGAACAAGTTGCCCAACAGGAGCGTGGACGAAAACGTTTAATTGAGCTCTTGTTTAAAAGCGCACTTGCTGAACCGGAACCCGTAACTGCTGAAAGATGGGCCAGGGCAGAAAAAGAGATGGAACTGAGGCTGCTTAGGTCGCCACTCGAGTTCTTGCCGGGTAGTGACGGTAAATCTGTGGAGAAAATAAAGCTGGCTGTCAATGTCATGAAAGGAGACACTGTCGAGGGGACAGAAGAAACTGAAGAAATAGAAACTGGTTTAGTTCTTAGATCTATCGGGTACAAATCGATCCAAGCAGATGAGGAATTGCCATTTAATCATAAGAAAGGAGTCGCTGTCAATGTTGATGGTCGGGTGAGTGAAGGGGTATATGCAGCAGGCTGGTTAGCTACCGGACCTAGGGGAGTGATTGTAGATACTATGGGAACAGCATTCAAGATTGGAGCAAATGTTGTAGCAGACCTAAAAGAAGAACAGAAGGGGAAGCCAGGACGATCTGGAATGCCTAGTTTACCGAAAAGTACTAGCTGGGCAGATTGGCAAAAATTAGAAAAGATCGAGATGGAAGCTGGAAAACTTCTCGGGCGGCCTAAGATAAAGATAACTTCAGTTTCAGAGATGCTTAATAAAATTCAATCATAATTGTTGAATTGCCCATGCCCGCCCCTTAATATTATATGCATGTTACTTTAAAGCCTTTATCTTTATTTTAATTTTGTTTTTCTCACGTAATTGAACACATTCTGTTCGTGAAAAGAAAACTAAATTACACTAATGCATTTGTTTCCAGGCTACAAGAAAGTATTAAATTTGTTTGATGTCAAAATGCGAAAAAAATTTGCCATTTTTTTATACAAATGAGAATTTTATTTTTATAATTTTCAAACTCATTCCGATTTTTGCTGTTTTGAATAAATCAAATCACTAATGAAAGCCAGAATTGTTTTGTCAAAATGAATCAATATGGGTAGCAAACTATCCGTCTGGGAACACTGAGTTCAAAAGTATTTAATTCGTAAATATCCCTTGAAAAATAGACCTTTCCTTTTTATCGTAAACTACTAAATGAGTTTTGAAGTTTTCAATTTAGTTGTTTTATAAACGTTGCTTCTAATTTGTTCCTGTTGTATTCCCTTAATACTTACGTCAAACATTCAAGAAATAATTAGCTAAGAAATTTATATATATTTGATAACATAGTTGTTTATTAACTTCACTAATATTGTGATAAAACTGATTTTTTTAAATTTAGTTTTTATAAAAAAATGGTTATATTTTTGATTAAAATAAAGTTAAACTTTTGGTCGAAAATGAAAGTTAAAGTCGAATATGGTGATATTTTTAGTCAAAAATGGTTTCATAATTGGTTGGAAAAAAAGTTTCATTTTTAGTCGAAAATGATTTTATTTATATATTATATGGTTATATTAATAGTGTTATATTTTCCCCGCCCCTCACTGTTGAGAATCAGGCACTGCCATCTTTCCATGGAGATTCACTTGAAATTAAGATAACAGTCCCTTTCATCATTTTTATGTATAATGTACAATTCATAATTCATTCCTGATTTTATTTGTAGAGAATATGGCTGTTAATCTGAGCCGTAGTCTTCAGTATCTGCGACCAACTGTGAACCAGGGTTTACATCGAGTATGTAATGGAGGGTTAGAATCTAGAAGAAATGCACATTTTACATTTGTTCCAGAAACCCCAGATCCATCTCAAGGTGATATTTGAAAAAAAATTCAATAAAGACCAAAAAATTTAAAATAATGATATCAAATAAGATCATTTTTTTTAACAATTTTGCAGGTGTATGTTGTTATGGAATATTAAAGTCCACCCCTCTTTCCCAGAATTAGTAATTTTGCAGAAAATTGAGAAAAGTTTTGTTTAGGGGGGGGGGGGGGGGGGGATATTTATAAAAAATGTTAAAATACACATGCCAGGTTAAGTTTTAAAATAACAAATTTTTCCTTCACTCAAGGTACACTTTGAATTATATCCTTCTGTGATTTTCCCATGATGGAAATTAATTGAACCGGTTATTTGAGAGGAAAATCTAGAGATAAAGAAAATTCCTGTTTTTATTTTATAAATTGTAATTTAGGTGAAACCGCCAAAATGACCCTTCTACAGTCAGTCACAGACGCTCTGGACATTGCACTAACCAAGGTTGTTTAATAACTAGGACTAGAGTAATGAGAAATTTTCTCATCTCTATATCTTTGCAACCTGTTGGTGTAAACCTTTGATATTTCATACTTAGATTGTTTAATTTTAAAGAATTCATAGTTTGAAATATCTGAGGTTTACGACATATAAATCGGATTAATGATGCATAATTTGAGCGCAAATGTTGTCTTTTTAGTGAAAATTCCATGAAATCTACAGAAAATGTTTGTGAACAATGAGACATTACAGAAACCAAGAACTGACTAAGACTACTCAGTTTCGATGATAATAGTTAATTTTTGTTTTCTCAGCCTGTTCCTAAACATCTAATTAGTTTACTGAAGAATTTTTATTACATTTTTCGTCGTTGTTATTGAATAAATTTTTAAAACCTGATTCTCAAAATCATTGCTCAAAAATGAAAAATCTATGAGGATTTCAACGATTGAATTTGCACTCTTGCCGAACAAATATGCATCTTAAAGGCGTATCATAGGTCTCAAATGACTACTAAAAAATTCTCCACAATTCTACATTCTCAGTACAACTACCATACATTGCCGGTCACTCCCTTAAAAAAAAAGGGGAACGATGGTGTTTTCTTTACGTGTAATAAATTATAGAGGTGTAAATTCCCCCTCCCCCCGGGGGGGGGGATGATGATCAATAAAGTTTTATTAGTTTTTTTTTAGTTTTTTTTAACTAAAAAAACTAAAACATTTTCCCCTTAAAATCATTTTCTCAAATCAGCGAATAAAATACTAACTTCTAAAGGGAAAAAAAATATTTTTCAAGAAAATATACACCCCTCATTTATTATGATAGAAAAATATACATAAGAAATGAATATATTGAATACCAAAATTAAGTTTAACTGATTTTTTTGCAATTTGCTGATTTATTTTGAACAGGATCCGACTGCTGTTGTATTTGGAGAGGATGTTGCGTTTGGAGGGGTGTTCAGATGCACAGGTTGGATTGTAAAATTTTATTTATTTTTAAAAATTCATAAACAGTTTTTTCTTGGGTACCATTTAATTATTATCCACAGCCTCTTTATAACTCCTGATAAATTAGACGTACTCCTCGAATCCTAAAAACATTCAAAGTCGGATATGATTCACTAAAAGTGGAACACAACCCTGGAGCTCAACGTAACATAGTCTGCTGGACATGACACTTCAACTGTAGGTTGAATTATAACAATAATAATACAAAACTGTACAATATTATTTTAGCATGATTTAGGATTAAAAGTTTTCACTTAATTTTCATAATTCCCATCTGACCACCAATGCAGGAAGACCTCACTTCATCCCTGGAAGTCTTTGCTCCTTCACTATCCTTATTTGTATACTTAATAATAGTTGGACCTTTAGGATAGAAAGGGTTTGATCTTTTTTTGTTCATTTATGAAGTGAGAAGACTTGGTGCCAGGCTGTGCTTAGGATCCGGATCCGTAAAAATATGCGGATCCACGGATACAAGGGGCATTATTTCAACCATAAACTGCCAAAACAAAAAAATTGTTACTCTCCAACCCCAAAAACCCGTGTCAAGTAAGACATTTTGTAATATCTCTTTCAATATTAATAGCAGCCGGTTCTATTTTTGAACGTAGACTCATATAATTTGTTAGGAGCAGGATATGAAGTCAGATTGTCGATATCTCTTTCCGGAGTCTTGGAACCTCTGAAAAGTGACCTCCGTCGGCTCCGATTTTTTATCTCCGGNCGGAGATAAAAAATCGGAGCCGACGGAGGTCACTTTTCAGAGGTTCCAAGACTCCGGAAAGAGATATCGACAATCTGACTTCATATCCTGCTCCTAACAAATTATATGAGTCTACGTTCAAAAATAGAACCGGCTGCTATTAATATTGAAAGAGATATTACAAAATGTCTTACTTGACACGGGTTCTTTGAGCTATCGAAAAAAGAGAGATTAAAAAATTCCTGATTTCTGAATGCCTTATGAAGTTTTGCATTAAAATAAGCGAGAAAAAAAATTGGACAAAAAATTGAGAATTCTGCTTTGTGAAAAAAATTCAGTAAATTTTAAAGAAATAACCTGGATCCGGATCCATTTTCCCGGATCCGGATTCGCATCTAAATTAAATGGATTTTAAGCACTGGTGCCAGTGGTTTGTATTTTTTCAGAAATTGGGGGGAAAACAAAAAATTTGACATCAAAAGGCAACTTTTTGATTTTGTCCTAAAAATCATGTATTTTCCCCATTTCAGCGACTAAAACCCTAAAAATATAATCGTTTCAAAATGAGGGGTGAGGAGAGATTTTTTTATGAAAAGAAAAATTTTATGTTTATATTATTAAAGGGACTGACGACTTAATGTCATAAAATTACATTAGACAATTCATGCTAGATTCACAACAGACTTTTTTTAACCTTTTACTGAGCAAAAATGATGGTGATATCCTTGATTTTAATTTTCTGAAAACTACCAGATAGAATTTTTTACTTTTTAAGATAGAAAAACACTAATTTCTTCCTAAGATAAAGTTTAAGAATCTGGAATGTAACTTTAAAAGAACGAACATTGAAAGATACACGGGACAGTCCTTTTTTTATTTCTTACAATGTTATATTTAGTTGGTTTGGGAGAAAAGTTTGGCAAGGAGCGTGTATTTAACACACCACTCTGTGAACAGGGAATTGCAGGCTTTGGAATAGGTATGGTAGAAATATCTAATTTTTATTTCAAAAATTAAATATTTTTCGAAATGTTAACCTTTCCCATAATTTTGGTTTTTAGGTATGGCCGTAGCTGGGGCAACCGCCATTGCTGAAATCCAATTTGCGGATTACATCTTTCCTGCCTTTGATCAGGTATTAATTAATAACAATTCATTCCAAACAAAATAAAATCGAATTCATTTATTGTCAAACAAGATTGTTTTGAATACCTACTGTGTCTTGGATTAAGATATATTCTAATGAAAAAAGGTAAATAAGAAAACAAATACCTATTTCTTTGTTCTTTACTTCCATCTTTTTTAAAAATAAAATTTTCCTTGTATTTAATATTTTAAATGCATGATTATTAACACAAATTCGAAATATAAGGAAGACGATTTTACCGATGAGATGCCGTAGACTATTCTCAAGACGTGTGTATCTATTTCCGGCCATGAAGCACCCACATGTCACCCTCGCTTCTTCGTTCCCTCCTCACCCCTCTACACATCCCAGCCCGGCAGTCAAAGTAGGAGAGTTGAGCTAGTAACAGTTCCAACACAGGGAGCCTCTTGACTCCTTCATGATGATGACGCAGATACTCAGCTAGCAGCAGGCATGCTTATACCCGAGGGTTCCCAGTTCATCATGCATTCCAGAGACAACATAATCGCTCATAGCCAGCATGACAAGCCGCGATCTCTTCCTACTGATTTTGATAAGCCCTGTTGTCCCGGTTCCTGTTGATCTGCTCCACCAATATGAAGCTCTACAACACTCCCATGAAGTGCCATCAAATATTCATCATTAATTCCTTTGTTAATTTCTAAATCAACCAATTTTAACTCCGTCTTATATGCAAATATTTCAAAACTTTCGTTTTTTGAATAAATGTTAGAAATATCCATTTTTAGATCTCTTTATTTTACTATAGTGACTTTTAAGATTTTGTTTTTATTGTTTTAATCGTTGAATAAATGAACTTTGGGGTAAAAAGTAAAATTTTGCTTTTAACATCAAATTTTTTTTTCCCAGATAATCAAAAATATACACTCCTGACCTACAGTGACCTGTCCCTTAAAATAATCAAGATATCCCTGTATAGATAGTGAACGAGGCTGCCAAGTATAGATATAGGAGTGGAAACACATTTGATTGTGGTAGTTTAACTATACGAGCAACTTGGGGAGCTGGAGGACATGGAGCTCTTTACCATTCTCAGGTAACCCTGGGGAGGGGGGGGGGATTTAACTATATGTGCAACCTGAAAATTATGGTTAGGACAGTTAAGAAATCAGTAATTAAACACCGTTTTTTCGAAATTTCGTAAATTTTTGTGAGAAAAAGGTTTGTTTTCTGTTTAGAGTCCTGAATCCTACTTCGCGCAGACCCCAGGACTCAAGATTGTTATTCCACGAAGCCCGGCCAAAGCAAAGGAAACAACAATTATTTGATTTCAATTGATTTTAATGATTCTATGATCATTGAGCACTGATTATATCTCAGCAAACATTTTAATTAAAAACATATAAAGACATTACAGCCCTCCCCCCCCACTCTTTGCTTTGAAAAATTTGGAGTCTTACGTCGATACTAATGAGATGTTTGATTCCAATTAATGCGGAGAATAAAATTAAGATTTTCAAAAATTGTTCAATAAGACCTTTTGTTACGAGAAAAAAGACTTGATATTTTTATTGCTTTTATAACAGGAAGGCAAACAAGTCGCTGATTTAGTAGATCCTTGAAACTTTTTTTCTTCCCTAATATTCTCTTAATTGATTGTCATTTTTCTTACCTGTTGTTTAATGTGTTTTCAGGTAAAATGGCCGAAATAGAAATTCACGTTTTAATTTCCTCGGAGATATATTTAAGTGCATATTTGAAATTATTTTGATAAATCCAAGTTGGTGTTCTTCTCTTCTAATTATATTCAAGTTATTAGTTGTTGTTGTTGTGTACTGCAGGGTTTGTTATTGTCCTGTATCCGGGACAAGAATCCTTGTATTTTCTTCGAACCTAAAATTCTGTACAGATCAGCTGTTGAACAAGTTCCTGTTCAGGAATCAATCAATCAATCAATTCATCTTTTTGATAAATACAGGGTTACCCTCAAAGGATGAGACTTAAGGGACGACTGTACGGAATTTTTACTGTCTCTATCCTATTATTAACGGTTTTCTGCAACTGTAGACACATTTCTTTCTTTACTATATCATTTAATCACCTCAAAAAAGACTAAAGTCAAGGGAAAGAGCTTCATTTAATCTTGGGGTCGTCATAAATGAGATTTGTGTCGTTTTTACAGTCTCATCCTTTGTGGGTAACCCTGTATATCAAGATTAAATGTCTGATAATTGTTTCTGTATTATTGATAAATGATTTATTATTTTGATTTTAATTTGATGACGAAAGTTTTCTATTCTTTAGTTTAAAATTATGATTTATGTTGAAAAAATGAGAAGAACTGTGGTCGTTATTTTAATGGACCCTTTATTTATAGACTGTCATTTATAAAGTCATTGTCCGTTATACAACGGTACACTTCAAACCTTAGACAAATCTAGAATGAATGAGATATCAATGTTTATGTTTCAATTGTGGTTTCTCTGCATTAGAATAGTGATTTCCGCACTTTTTAAAGTATCAGAATTGAACAGAAAAACGAGGACATCTTCGTAATTATCAATAAAATATAGGTGTTAATCAGGCATGTCCCTCTGTAAAGGAGCGGTCACATGGAAATACGACAGTTAAAATGTGTATTGATTGATTGATTGATAAAAGGACTACGAGCTTCCCCTAGGTGTGGCTGATATCCTAGTCCCAGGGGACGATGTTACTCTAATAGGGTGGGGGACACAGGTATCCATTATAGAGTGTTTTGCCCGGGTGGGGGGGATTGTATTAGGAAACAGGTTAGGTATCAATTATGTAATGAACAAGATTAATAAGAATCACTCAAAGAAAATCGACATTTTTTAAACTTTTAACTTTAGCCTCAACTCAACTTAGGTATGCATAATTATTCAAATTTTAAAGAGAATATTTGAATTAATAAAATTTTCTAATTTATAATTTTTGTTAAATCCTTAAACACTTTTTATATAATAAGATTCATGTTCTGAGAGAGGTGGCTGAACTAGCTCAGGAGAAATTAGGAGTCTCATGTGAGGTAAAATACACTTCATCTTTGTCTATATATATAAACAAAGGGTTACCCACAAAGGATGAGACTGTAAAGACGACCCAAAACACTAAAAATATGAAGATTTGAAGCTTGATTTTTGGTTTTTGCATTCAATTGAGTATTTTGATGGTACACTAAATGATTAAGCACAGAAATAAGCTAGCTTTGGCTTACAAGGAGCCCTGAATAAATTCCGTACTATCGTCTCTGAAGTCTCATCCTTTGTGGGTAACCCTGTATATAAAGTAGTAATCTTTTTTGGTTTGTATGTCCGATCATAACGTGTGAACCCTTTCTGTGGCTGGTTTGGGAAGCTTGGTAGAACCATGGAAATACGTTGAGCTGGGTTTTAAAATTCTTGGTCGACTTGTTTTTGTAAAGTTTGGGCTTCCAAGCCAATATTTTATATATTCAAACAAACAATATTAATAAATAAAGAATTTGATGAATATCTGAAAATGTTTTCACGATTGTTTTAAAAGCCAAAATATTTGTTTAAGGTGATTGATTTAGTTTCTATCCTTCCTTGGGACAGAGATACAATATTCAACAGTGTTATTAAAACTGGAAGGTAAATTGTAAACAGTAGGCAGTAGATAGTAGGCAGTAGGAAGTAGGCGGTTGCCTTTCGTTCACTCGCGAAAAATGCAAAACTTTTGCAAAAAATTACGGATGAGACATTATTAATTATGAGATAATCAAACTTTTAATGCTGAACTTTGAGAGCAGAGAATTCCACAAGTTACTTTACACAATCAGTTGTTGCAGCTATGGTTTCGCGAAACTTTTTCTCGCGAAATTTAGCAAAAAAGTATTTTCGCGAAATACGAACGAAAATTTTCGCATAAATTTTTTCGAGAAAGTTTTCCTTCACTGGAAACCATATACCCAGCACGGACAGTACAAACAAATAACATTAAGAAAATATTGAAAGGATTCAGAAAACTCAAGAAATGGAAGGTTTATACAAAACATCTTAGCAAACCTGTTGCGTTTTAATTAATTGGATATTTATCGGCTATTAATTAGAAACAAATTCTGAATGTTGCTGAATTCTTGATTTATAAAGAAAAATATGTCAGTATAAAGAAAAACTAAAATTTAAGGTTTTTTAACCTTAGGGTCATCATTTCCCACGAGGCTCCGTATACTGGTGGGTTCGGAGCAGAACTAGCTGCTTGTATCCAGGTACAAAAGGGGTCCACCCTGATTTATACACTATGCTATGCACTGTACAGTGTGTCTCAATAAACATGGAAATCAAGTTATTTAATAAAAGTACATATTTTCACTTTTCCATATTGGCCTTCCTTCTTGTTTGTTTCTTTTAAAACTAAAGAAAATCATGAAAAAAATAAATTGTACATTTTAAAGTTTTTCGTCCTTTTTCATGCTTTTTACCCACAAATTTAATTATTTCCTCCTAAAAATCATTTGTATTCCCAAATCAGCCCAGAAAACCCTAAACAGACATACATTTTGGGGTTCTCCAAAAAGGACCAAGTTTGGATATTTATATGATGCAGACCGGAATCAAGTTACATATAGTCATACAAATTCAAGGGGAAACATGTTTTGAGATCGGACCACTTATACCGTCTGATATACTTTTCAGAAATATTCACGTATAGTCTACAATCTACATATACATACCTCAAAATAAATATTTCTTGAATTTATCATGTCAGATATTTTTTCTTCGTAAGTGTTTAAAAAGATTAAATCCATTGAAATTTTTGAAAAAATTTCCAAAAATTAACTGAGTTAGGCCCAAAAAAACCGTGAAAAAAATACTTGTATTTAGGAAATTTAACACCTAACTCGGTAAATTTTAAACTTATCAAAAATTTCAATGGATTTAACTTCTTTAGGCAATGTCAAAAAATCCATTGAAATTTTTGAAAAATTTCAAAATTGACTGAGTTTGGAATGTCACTTCTTTCCGGTCTGCATCATACAAATATCCAAACTTGGTCTTTTATGGGATACCCTAATACGTATCTTCTGGAGTGAAAAAAATATTTTCAAAAAAGGGGGGGAATAATTTTTCATTTTCTATTTTCTATGATATACACTCTACATTAGGAGAATTGTTTTCTAAACCTTGAAGCTCCAGTTCAGAGAGTTTGTGGACATGATACTCCTTTCCCTCACATCTTCGAACCCTTCTACCTTCCCGACAAGTGGAGGTGCCTGGAGGCAATCAAAAAAGTCACAAGTTTTTAGATCTGTTCATGTCTCAGGGGAAGAAAGTTCCAAACTTGAAACTCACTTCTAGGTTTCGGCCAAATCACGGTTGGAAACTTTCTTCCCCTGTATTCACAAAGCCGCGCTAGAAACATTATTTGTAAAATTTGAGTCTGAAATGAGTTTTCATGAGAGATGATTTTATTTTCAAAAATAGATTTGATTTATTACTAGTATTCTGCTACCCATAAAGAATGAGACTTCAGAGATTACCTTCAGAAATTTGTTTATTGCAATTTGCTTGCAAACTTGTCATTTAAACTTTCACTTATTGTCAATGAAGTCGCATCATTTGTTGGTACTGCATTATTATAGTATTAAGATAAAACTATTGTATTAGTATAAAAATTATTCAAAATGATAACTCCCAGTCATACGGTTCTTAAAATTACGTATTTTTATCATAAAATAATCTAAATTTCGTCTTCATTCTTCATTCTTGAGCCGTGTCTAGAAATTTTCAAAGAGTATTGAATCATTTCCTTTATCTTAGAATAGAACTAGAGAATCTCTTTAATCATATTTGTTAAACTTTATGTATTGTTATTAATAAAATGGTAATTAGTCAATTTGTAACTGAACTACATGTATGTATAATGTAAATATTTGTTTTGTTAATTGTTTTGTAGATTCGATGGTTTGTCGCTAACGGTCCAAACAGGAAATTGAATTAATTTAATTATGCTACAGGGTGTCTCAATAAACATTGGAATTGAGTGACGAATTCGACATCGTCTTTATTAATAATCAGTTTTTAATGTCTGATCTCAAAAGTTGCGCATAATTTTAATTTGTCGGTTAGATTTTTTTATGAATCCGATAATGAGTTTATGATGTGTCTTGTGACGTCTCAGTTTAAGATGAACGATGAAGACGGAAAAGCTAACTTCGTTTGTACACGGGAATTTTGTTGAATTGTCTACTACAACTTATGCAAAATGTAACCATGTTTTAAATTAACACCTCTGTATTTACCAAAGAGAATAGAATATATAATAGAGGGGAATTTACTAGAAAAAAGTGTAAAACGGCATTTTGTTGTACTGTTTCCATATTGCAGGTGTACTTCACTTATTTATGCTGTATAACCTTTTGGGCCCTGGAATTGATCATTTCACATAGTCTCTATGCCTTTCACTTTACAAACGATGATTTTCCGTTATAACTACAAATCGAATGATGTTTTTTTCACCTGATTCATTATAAAGTTTATTTAACAGCTTTAAAGAATTCGAAATTGAAATGGATAGTCTAGGGAACATACTGTATTAATGTACTCTACTGCATATAATTTGTGAACATTTACATGATTTGTACACTTTGAACTCCCTTTCAGGCTGAAAGGGACTGAACAAATTCATTCCCGAGAGATTCTCTAGCTAAATTCCCCTCCAATATATATTCTGTTCTCTTTGGTATTTACTGGGACTCCACAACTTTAATCAAATAGAAGAAGAATTATTGTTATCGGAATAATTATTAGTTAACCGTGAAGGCAGTTAACGAATATCAACTTTAAAGAAATCGAGATTATTAACGAACGCAACTTTTTTAATTAACTGAAAACCCCGTTAGCAGACATGAACATTAAGTTATTCACATTTATATAATTTGTCGTCACTTCAAAAGTTAGATTTTGTACCTAAGTGTACGTCTAAGAGAGAAAGTTTTGTGTGGATATTGTTACTCTAAACGCCTCATCTCGTTTAAAGAAAGGCCTCGTTATCTTGAATAACATTGTTTACATTTATTTTCTTACTTCGTGAACGGTTATTTCCGTTCGTTAAATCAAAACTACTGGATTTTGCCAGGAGGCGGAAACGTCATGTATACAGTATGTGTGATAGAGATGTCGACAATAGTGTAACGTAAAGCAAAATGTACGTTTTTGTACGTTACGTTACAATAATGTGTAACGTTTGGATATATTCTATATAACGTGAACGTTAAACGTTAACGTTATAGGAGCTAATACCTAACGTTAACGTTAAATGTTAACATTAGAGGAATATACCCCCAACGTTAACGTTTTGTGAAAATGTAACGTTATTTTTCTAATATCTACAACTTTTTTGACCATAACGTGAAGAAATTTTTTGTTTACAATGGGAGTTTGTAAGTCTAACGCTTGAAAAATTGATTGTGATTTGATTGAATATCGTAACGAAAGGATTTCTATTTCAAAGTTCAACTTATAAAAAGTGTAACGTTGTATAACTGAAAAATGCATTACTGTTAATGAAAACGTTTTCCCTTATAGTATAATGAAAACTTAACGTTGCAGAAATGGGTTATTATTTTAATAATCAGCAAACGAAAGTTTTTTTACAGAGTAAAATTTCAATAATGTAAGGTATAACATTTAAAAAAATGTAATTTTGTAAATCAAAACGTTTCATAACTTTTCTCTGAATACTAAATTCATTAGTCTAACGTTAGATGAAAAGATTGTTTATAAAATGTTAGGCTATGAGGGCTGAGTTTTAATTTCAAAAGTGTAACAATAATTCTGCCAATCAAAACATTTCAAAACGTCTCTAATATATCAATGGAAGAGATTCGACTGATGATTATGACAGCAAAGACTAATGTTTTTTTCATTCCAAGTTTAAAGAAAATGAGTTTATGCCAAAAACTCTAATTTTCATTTAATATATCTTTGCAACCCGATGTCGTGGCTCAGTAACATTTTGCCTAGTACAAGTTCGCCTAGTACACTTTCGCCTAGTACCTGTTCGCCTAGACAACATTTTGCCTAGACACAGTTTGCCTAGACAACATTTCGCCTGGATAACATTTCGCCTGGATAACATTTTGCCTGGATAACATTTTGCCTGGATAACATTTTGCCTGGATAACATTTTGTCTGGATAACATTTTGCCTGGATAACATTCTGCCTGGATAACATTTCGCTTGGATAACATTTTGCCTAGATAACATTAGAGAGTAATTTTCGCCTAGATTAATATTTTTCAAATTATATTTAACCAGCTTTTGGAACAAAAAAATACGCAATTTTCGCTGTAAAAATTTCACATTTTTTTATTGTAGTGTAAATCATTTAGTTTTCTACTGACATTGATGTCAACATGCATGACGTCCTTAATTCAGGCAGGGAAAACCAAAGGAGGCAGACCAGCCATAATTGATAATAAACATTTCTCATATGTCTCTAATGGACCTGGGTACAGTCCAAATGTTTGGCACATTCAGGACCAGTTTGTCAAACAAGATGCTGAAGCAAGACGAGCAATTCTTTCTAATTCAGTTGGCCAGGATATGGCTGATAATACAGAAAGCAGAGAGCCAAGGATGCAAAACAGAGGGTTAAACTGGTGGTAGAAGCTTTTGCTACAATGCCTAAAACTGATTATCTGAAAATGCTGGCTCATGATCTCCAGCGAGCTAGTGCATTTTAAGAAAAAATTTGTAAACATTATTATAATATATTTTTTTTGCTTTTAATTGAATTTCTTGAGAAAAAAGAGGAACTTTATAAATTTTAGTGAATTTATCTAGGCGAAAACTACTCTCTAATGTTATCTAGGCAAAATGTTATCTAGGCGAAATGTTGTCTAGGCAAACTGTGTGCAGGCAAAATGTTATCTAGGCAAAAAGTTATTAGGCGAACATGTACTAGGCGAAAGTGTACTAGGTGAACTTGTACTAGGCAAAATGTTACTGATACGATGTCGTAGACCATTAATATTGAAATATACAAGGTTTAAACCATCGGGTTGGAAAGATATAGGGATTAGTGAATTTGAAAAAAAAAACTTAGTTCCTTTCTGAAGTGTAAACGAGTTTTTTGTAACATGCTATTAGTGAAAATTCAAATCTTAAAAAGGTTTCTTGGGCATTAAAAACTTTTGATTTGCCATTGTTTGATGAAACCCACTAAAACTCTGGAAAAGGAAGACGACATTACGAAATTTTACATATTTATTTTCTGTTAAAAAGCAAATGATTTACTAATTGCAAAAAAATCAACTTATTAATTGGAGTCTGTGAACAAACACAATTGCTGGGTTTCATGTTTATTTGACTACTTAAAAGCATAACTTCAGTTGGCATGGTTAATGTTTTAGGTTGAAAAATTTACAAATGTAGAAACTCACTAAAATACAACAATATTTTATCAAATGGAAAATGCATGTTATGTTTTATTCATCAATAGATTTTTATATAACTTTAGAACAGAAAAAAAATGATTTTTTAATCCGTTTTTTTAAAAGAAAAAAATGTTAAATAATTTTATTTCGCATTGTTTGTGCAGTGTTAAAAAAAACTTTAGCACTTGTCTTATTATATTTGATATTTTTTAACCCCAAACATGAACTCTGAAAACAGTTTCATTGTGGTTTGTAAACTAAAGCTAATGCCGCTTTTTTACTCACTTTGTAAGTAACATAAAAAACACAAAAAGAACTAAAAATTCGCCACAAAATTTAATTTTCTAATCTCTACATCTTCGCACGCTGGTGTTGTAGACTTTTGATATTTCAAGCTTCTGTTAGATAAGAATGTCTAAAGGAATTGAGTTGTTCACAAACTTATATTTCTAATCCCTATATCTTTGCTACCCAATGTTGTAGACCTTAGATATTTTAAACTATGAATTCTGTTAGATAGAAGAAAAGGGTCAGTCTGCATTGCGTAAAAAAAGAAAAAA